AGAATTTTTTTTATTTTTTGTTAAAAATGAAAGAAAATTTTTAAATAATTTTCCTTTTCAATTCTCTGAGAGATAGATTATAATATTTATAAATTGCTAATTATTAATAATTATTTTTAATTATAATTATTAAATATATTAATAGACTATAACATTATAACATTATAATATTTTAAATTGTCATTATTTAAAAAAAATTATAATATGAAGTACTTTATATTTGAGACATAAAAAGCAAACACAAAAGTAAATTAATAAAATAATTAAATAAGCAATGGCAGTGCATTGTAATTTTAAATAAATAATATATTATCTCATATTTCATTTTCATTATTTTTAACCAATGTCGATACTCATTTTATAAACATTACTAATTTGCATCCTAGGCTAACGTTTTCATGTGCAGCGATTATTGCTTAGGGTTTCCACTAAACTGATCAATCAGGCGGTTATGTGGACAATTAGAACGTGAGCAATCGACTGAGTAGTCGCTGTTCTTTTAGTAATTTTCTGTTTCATGGCCATGGTGTATCTCGTAAAAGTTTGACTTGACAATTGATTAAGGTGTGATTTTTTTGACAATGTTCTTTTAAAGAAGTTTACAGAAAAATTTACATTTCACACATAGAAATAAGACACATTTGCTCAACATTGGATGATTTCCTGGCTATATCTAATTTCCTTCTATCGGTAATAGAGTTCAAGGATGTCAAAAAGAATATTAGATATGTCCTTTGCTGGTGCGATTTTATTGGTTATTTAACTGTGCCATTTAAACTATGTTTCTACTACAAGTTGAACATTTCACATTCAGTTACTGTTTAGTTGGTATTATCAATGAGTTGCAACTAAAAGATTCGTTTGTACAATAAGGGAACTTCTTTTCGACGAATAAGTAGTAATTTCCTTCATTGAGTTTGTCACTTGGCTTGAAATCGAAAATCTGATCATTCAGGACAATGCAGTCAGTTGTAGTGGGACAAGGATAAGACGGCTTGCTAAAAAAACAAATTATAACAGGGTAAAATAATAGTAAAATAAAAAGAATTTCCAGATAAATGAGCCTAAGCAATGGTTATACCTTCCGAATATATCCCCGAGCCATCTGAAAAAGAAAATCAGGTAATGTAATATTCTTTTTCTCTTTTATATATAAGTATATGTAATTTGATTTTTTTTATTTAAACAAGAATTCTCGTGAAAATTAACTCTAATCGCTAAATTGATTATAAAAAGATAGACTTACGTTGATTTTGACATTTCAACACCAGGATATACACATGTGTTGGACATAAAATACAACATCTGTAAGGATCTGGCATGTGAACACGCAAGATCCAGAATCGCTAAAACAAGAATTTTGTTTGCAAAATATTAAACAATATTTTCTGTTGTTTTATGCTTTCTGTTAGTTTAGTAACATTCAATATCTTTGTAAGTGAATTCATTAATTAAACATAATTAATCTAACCGCATTCTGGTTGCTTCGTTCCACCATTAACCTGCAGGATGACATGACCTATCGGTTTACATGGCAAAGGGTCACATGAGTGCGTGAATCCAATCACTGATGTGTGAATAATTACTATATTCTTGGCATCTGTTATGCAGAGTCTTTCCTCACACTTGTTGTTTTTAAAAAGTGGAGCTGCTGGGTCGGCAAGTATCATAAATTCGACTTTTTCACCAAATGAATTTTGGATATCCTTAGCAGCAAAGCTGCATACATGCGCACCAAGACTGTGACCGATAAATATTATGTTACTCAGTGGAATGTTGCAATCCTTCACTAGTGATATAACATATCTGAAAATTCATACAAACATATAAACCAAAGACATCTTCTAACTTTTTCTTATTAGTTTGTTTGGATATATATATATATATATATATATATATATATATATATGTATATATATAAGAAACATAATCATTAATATACAATCCTAATAAAACATAATATTCACAAATTTTGTTATTAATCCACTATTTATCTAGTATTTATTATTATTATACATATGATAATATTGGAATATAATTTATCTAGTATTTATTATTATTATACATATGATAATATTGGAATATAATTTGATATGACTCCGTTTAGGAAGTATTATATTTATTACATTAATTTTTTTTAACATAACATATAACAAGCATACTTTGCCATAAGTTGTCCTATTTCATGAGAGTTCTTTACTGCTTCAGGATATTCCAGCAGCTTCAATCCAGGTGGTCCGTACTTGCAAGCTGCAGTAGACCAATCTAGTAAAAATACTGTGTAACCTTTCTTTAAAAACAAAGAAAATTAAATTTTTTTTTATTGAGTTTAATATTTTACATTTTACATTTTATATAGTATATAAAAATATATATTTAAAGAATAGTACAAGTTGTACGTCAACAAATATATATCTATATATTGATATATTACCTTTTGATTCCAATTTTTTGTACATACACATAATATCTACCTTTATTAATTTCGAGGCCAAATCATAATTATTTGTCATGTTCGCTGAGCTGATGAAACCATGGACCAGAAAGTAAATCAGGTTCAATGGATCAGTGATCAGTGAACAGCTTTCCTGTTCCCCGATAGGCCCTTTGCCCTCAGGATTAGCACTAAAAGAAATATGAATGCGGGAAATGAATTAATGATTAAAAATTCACTTGAGCTTTACCTGTTGAATAAAAACATCGATATATATTTAGGGCCGAAGATACAAGAATTGTTAAGAGCATCGCCGAGGGACTCCAATTCTGTAGGATGTAAATACACACATCGTACGAGAAAAATTATAAGTATCGCAGCGGTTCTCATTATAAAAATAGTATTGCTGGATATTGAGCAGAAACTGATCAATTAATGAATTTGCGATATTAAAAGCTCACCTCTTTTATACGTACATGTATGTAGGTTGTACAAAAATATTGACATTTGCAACATTATTGGCGGCTGTGTAAACTGTTTAGTTGAGTGCAGGAACTTCATATAAAAGTGTGTATTACAATACCACAATGTAAAATGGCAAATGATTAATAAATGTTGCTACCGCGTATATATTTCTTCTCTTTGCAATTCGCTTTTATTTCTGACATTATCCGGCAATAAAAATGACGTAGTGCGGCAAATATTATTTCAAAATGATCTTGTCCTTGATATTATTGCAATACATATCTGTCGATTATACATCATATGTTGCATTATACGTTTCGTTTGCATTAATTTAGAATAGATATAGAAAAATTTTTATTGGTCATATTTCGTGTATTTTTTTACGAAGCAGTAAAATGTGTCAGGATATGCAAAAATCGTGTTCGATGAAACCTTGCAAGATTGATTAAAATATGGGGTAAATAATTTTCTCGGAAATTCGTTTGTGTAAAAATTTAAAAACTATTTATAGATAAAAATTCTCGAGTATCCTTTTTCTTAATTCACTGAATCACATTGCCGAAAGCAAAATTAATGTGCAATCATTTTCATTATATGTATTATAATATTAACAGTGTAATATTACACAAGAATGATTTTTCTGAAGGAATATATATTTCTAAATTTTTAAAAATAAATCCTTAGTATTAATTTCCGATTCTCTTAAGTAATCCTTGATTAATACAATATCGTATTATCACAATAATTATTGAATATTTTATATATACGTGTCTTTATAAATTTAGCATTCAATGTAAACATAAAAGCGCAATATTTATGAAAAATTTTAAATTTAATTTTTTATAGGATATAAACGTGTGCGCACGATTCGATTCTTCGGTTTTATCGTCAAGTGTAGATTTAATTAATTTATTTCCAGTTGAAAAACGAATGTAATATATTATTGCGTACTTATAATTTAAATCTTATTTAAATTTTGAATACAGACGGCTTAATCATTTTAATAATATAATTATAACAAAAATAAGTTGTGTGCAAAATTGACTAGAGTAGTTGATAAAATTAAAATTATTTCACGCGCGAAAATTTAAAGTTCAAATGACTAAGCAAAGAAGTCTTTATACTAATTTATTTAACAAATGCTTTTAACAGTTGTAGCAGCCAAAAATGAACGCAACTGATAATTAATAGGACGTTTTTTTATAGGTATTGCTTCTTATATTGTGACGGACAATTAAAACGTAGGCAATCGAATGTTACTTCTGGATACTCGTGCATTATGATTGAGCAGAATTGAAGAGAACAGCGATTACCAACAGTTGCTGTTCTAGCTACAATGTACCTATGGTGGCAGTTCACATCATGCAACTGATAATGAGTTGACAGTCTATCGATTTTTCGACAGTACTTTATAAAATAGATACATAGAAATTAATTTTACAAAGCTCGAATTCCTATTTCTCGAAATTATGCAAATGCTTGCATTAACGTATGTATGTATATTGCAAAAAATATTACAGGTTAACCTTTGCAAATTATAACGGATGATATCATATGCCGAATATTCTTATATTATATTTTATATAGATTCTTTGATTTAAAATTGATTTCTTTTTATTGAAATTGATACCTACAATTTTCGAACACAACAATTGAAATTTTTTGACAGATTCAAGTTCTTCAAGCTAAGAAATGGATCATATTCTTTAATCAATTTCAAATAAATTCTAACTTTAAATTTAAAACTTTGTCATGTAAAATTTATAACATTAAGAATAAAAGAACAAGTGATAATATCTTTCTTTCTCAAGATTTGAGAATTAATCTTAGAAATATAATTTCGGAAGAATATTCGATGATTTTAAGACACCCTGTACATTTGATAATCTTATACAATATATATATACATTCGCATATGTACAACTTTTGCGTCACTTTATCGAAATCGACTAAAAAGCCAGAGTTTGTTGCATTTATTACTATTTTATCACATAATAATGGTAATTTCGACTTATGTAAATACATGAATCAAATTTGCATCAGTTGAAATAAATATAATTCTGCAATGAAGAAAATAAATATAATCATTTCTAGCTCCAGAACATCCCAGGAAAATTATATTATTCGAGTGCAACAATAATACGTGTTGCTGTTAGATGGTTATCAACAGCAGATTCTGTTATAGGTAAGAATATAGCTTTTATGTTTGAAGAAAAAAGAGCATTGATTGAAAATAATTTTATTTCTTTCCCATGTATAAATGTATTAATGATACATGTATGAATATTAATAATATATGAATACAGTTGTTAAGGAGATGCTGAGGATCAATCAGGTTAAAGAAACCTTTACTCCTTTTATCACGATTGATCAATCAAACTATTCAAAGCGTCAGTTAAACATTCAAACAATTAAATCTGTAGCAGTATGAACTAAAAAACATAAGTTCCTTGTCATCAAAAACAAGAAGAAGAAGAAGCTTTAAAGTGTTCTCAGCATCTCCTTCATTGCAGCTTACATTGCAGCTTGCATTTTCATCATTTGATTTTGATCAATTATGCAGCTGCATTCGATTGGCCAATTAGGATAAAGAAATCTTTATCCTGATTGGTCAATGTAAGCATCAACACAAATGTAGTTAATTAGTACTAATTTAAATAATAATTTTACATTTACAGATATTTTTTTCAGATGACACATGAGAAACAATTCACATTGATGGTGAAAGGAAATTAAAATTTATTTTCATAAATGAATAAAATAATAAATATATAATTTTCTTTATTTTTTTAGAAAAGTGCATCAAAGAAAGTAATGTCGCATTTATTGAGGCAAGACTTAAATATATTTAATAAAATTAAATAATTCCATTTATTTCATTGATATTTTTAGTGTATTGTTTGCAAAATGGAAATCAAATGTTAGAATTTTTTTACTTTTTGTTAAAAATGAAAGAAAATTTTTAAATAATTTTCTTTTTCAATTCTCTGAGAGATAGATTATAATATTTATAATTGCTAATTATTAATAATTATTATTAATTATAATTATTAAATATATTAATAGACTATAACATTATAATATTTTAAATTGTCATTATTTAAAAAAAATTATAATATGAAGTACTTTATATTTGAGACATAAAAAGCAAACACAAAAGTAAATTAATAAAATAATTAAATAAGCAATGGCAGTGCATTGTAATTTTAAATAAATAATATATTATCTCATATTTCATTTTCATTATTTTTAACCAATGTCGATACTCATTTTATAAACATTACTAATTTACATCATAGGCGAACGTTTTCATGTACAGCGATTATTGCTTAGGGTTTCCACTAAACTGATCAATCAGGCGGTTTTGTGGACAATTAGAACGTGAGCAATCGACTGAGTAGTCGCTGTTCTTTAGTAATTTTCTGTTTCATGGCCATGGTGTATCTCGTAGAAGTTTGACTTGACAATTGATTAACGTGTGATTTTTTTGACAATGTTATTTTAAAGAAGTTTACAGAAAAATTTACATTTCACACATAGAAATAAGACACATTTGCTCAACATTTGATGATTTCCTGGCTATATCTAATTTCCTTCTATCGGTAATAGAGTTCAAGGATGTCAAAAAGAATATTAGATATGTCCTTTGCTGGTGCGATTTTATTGGTTATTTAACTGTGCCATTTAAACTATGTTTCTACTGCAAGTTGAACATTTCACATTCAGTTACTATTTACTTGGTATTATCAATGAGTTGCAACTAAAAGATTCGTTTGTACAATAAGGGAACTTCTTTTCGACGAATAAGTAGTAATTTCCTTCATTGAGTTTGTCACTTGGCTTGAAATTGAAAATCTGATCATTCAGGACAATGCAATCAGTTGTAGTGGGACCAGGATAAGACGGCGTGCTAAAAAAACAAATTATAACAAGTAAAATAATAGTAAAATAAAAAGAATTTCCGGATAAATGAGCCTAAGCAATGGTTATACCTTCCGAATATATTCCCGAGCAATCTGAAAAAGAAAATCAGGTAATGTAATATTCTTTTTCTCTTTTATATATAAGTATATGTAATTTGATTTTTTTTATTTAAACAAGAATTCTCGTGAAAATTAACTCTAATCGCTAAATTGATTATAAAAAGATAGACTTACGTTGGTTTTGGCATTTTAACACCAGGATATACACATGTGTTTGACATAAGATACAACAACTGTAAGGATCTGGTATGTGAACATGGAACATCCACAGCCGCTAAAACAAGAATTTTGTTTGCAAAATATTAAACAATATTTTCTGTTGTTTTATGCTTTCTGTTAGTCTAGTAACATTCAATATCTTTGTAAGTGAATTCATTAATTAAATATAATTAATCTCACCGCATTCTGGTTGCTTCGTTCCACCATTAACCTGCAGGATGACATGACCTATCAGTCTACATGGCGAAGGGTTACATGCGTTCGTGAATCCAAGCACTGATGTGTGAAGAACTACTATATGCTTGGCATCTGTTATGCAGAGTCTCTCATTACACTTGTTTTTTTCAAAGAGTGGAGCTGCTGGGTCGGCACCTATGATCAATTCGACTTTATCATCAATTGTATTTTGGATTTTTTTAGCAGCAAAGCTGCATACATGTGCACCAAGACTGTGACCGATAAATGTCATGTTATTCAGTGGAATGTTGCAGCCCTTCACTAGTGATATAACATATCTGAAAATTCATACAAACATATAGACCAAAGACATCTTCTAACTTTTTCTTATTAGTTTGTTGGTCTTATTAGTTTGTTCTTATTAGTTTGATATATATATATATATATATATATATATATATATATATATCTAGCATTGTAATTGTATATTAATGATTATGTTTCTTATATATATATAAGAAACATAATCATTAATATACAATGCTAGATAAATATAATATTCACAAATTTTATTATTAATCCACTATTTATCTAGTATTTATTATTATTATATATATGATAATATTGGAATATAATTTGATATGACTCCGTTTAGGAAGTATTATATTTATTACATTAATTTTTTTTAACATAACATTCAACAAGCATACTTTGCCATAAGTTGTCCTATTTCACGAGTGTTCTTTACTGCTTCAGGATATTCCAGCAGCTTCAATCCAGGTGGTCCGTTCTTGCAAGCTGCAGTAGACCAATCTAGTGAAAATACTGTGCCGCCTTTCTATAAAAACAAAGAAAATTAAATTTTTATTGAGTTTAATATTTTACATTTTACTTTTTATATAGTATATAAAAATATATATTTAAAGAATAGTACAAGTTGTACATCAAGAAATATATATCTATATATTGATATATTACCTTTTGATTCCAATTTTTTGTACATACATATAATATCTACCTTTACTAATTTCGAGGCCAAATCATAATTATTTGTCGTGTTCGCTGAGCTGATGAAACCATGGACCAGAAAGAAAATCGGTTTCGATGGATCAGTGATCAGTGTACAGCCTTCCTGTTCCCCTATAGGCCCTTTGCCCTCAGGATTAGCACTAAAAGAAATATGAATGTAAGCAGGAAATGAATTAATGATTAAAAATTCACTTGATCTTTACCTGTTGAATAAAAACATCGACATAGATGTAGGGCCGAAGATACAAGAATTGTTACGAGCATCATCGAGGATGGACTTCAATTCTGTAGGATGTAAATACACACATCGTACGAGAAAAATTATAAGTATCGCAGCGGTTCTCATTATAAAAATAGTATTGCTGGATATTGAACAGAAACTGATCAATTAGTGAATTTGCGATATTAAGAGCTCACCTCTTTTATACGTATATGTATGTAGGTTTTACAAAAATATTGACATTTGCAACATTATTGGCGGCTGTGTAAACTGTTTAGTTGAGTGCAGGAACTTCATATAAAAGTGTGTATTACAATACCACAATGTAAAATGGCAAATGATTAATAAATGTTGCTACCGCGTATATATTTCTTCTCTTTGCAATTCGCTTTTATTTCTGACATTATCCGGCAATAAAAATGACGTAGTGCGGCAAATATTATTTCAAAATGATCTTGTCCTTGATATTATTGCAATACATATCTGTCGATTATACATCACGTGTTGCATTATACGTTTCGTTTGTATTAATTTAGAATAGATATCGAAAAATTTTTATTGGTCATATTTCGTGTATTTTTTTACGAAGCAGTAAAATGTGTCAGGATATGCAAAAATCGTGTTCGATGAAACCTTGCAAGATTGATTAAAATATGGGGTAAATAATTTTCTCGGAAATTCGTTTGTGTAAAAATTTAAAAACTAATTATAGATAAAAATTCTCGAGTATCCTTTTTTTTAATTCACTGAATCACATTGCCGAAAGCAAAATTAATGTGCAATCATTTTCACTATATGTATTATAATATTAACAGTGTAATATTACACAAGAATGATTTTTCTGAAGGAATATATATTTCTAAATTTTTAAAAATAAATCCTTAGTATTAATTTCCGATCCTCTTAAGTAATCTTTGATTAATACAATATCGTATTATCACAATAATTATTGAATATTTTATATATACGTGTCTTTATAAATTTAGCATTCAATGTAAACATATAAGCGCAATATTTATGAAAAATTTTAAATTTAATTTTATATAGTATATAAACGTATAGTATATAAACGTGTGCGCACGATTCGATTCTTCGGTTTTATCGTCAAGTGTAGATTTAATTAATTTATTTCCAGTTGAAAAACGAATGTAATATATTATTGCGTACTTATAATAATTTAAATCTTATTTAAATTTTGAATACAGACGGCTTAATCATTTTAATAATATAATTATAACAAAAATAAGTTGTGTGCAAAATTGACTAGAGTAGTTGATAAAAATTAAAATTATTTCACGCGCGAAAATTTAAAGTTCAAATGACTAAGCAAAGAAGTCTTTATACTAATTTATTAAACAAATGCTTTTAGCAGTTGTAGCAGCCAAAAACAAACGCAACTGATCATAATTAATAGGACGTTTTTTTATAGGTATTGCTTCTTATATTGTGACGGGCAATTAAAACGTAGGCAATCGAATGTTACTTCTGGATACTCGTGCATTATGATTGAGCAGAATTGAAGAGGACAGCGATTACCAACAGTTGCTATTCTAGCTACAATGTACAAGTGGTGGCAGTTCACATCATCCAGCTGATAATGAGTTGACAGTCTATCGATTTTTCGACAGTACTTTATAAAATAGATACATAGAAATTAATTTTACAAAGCTCGAATTTCTATTTCTTGAAATTATGCAAATTCTTGCATTAACGTATGTATGTATATTGCAAAAAATATTACATGTTAACCTTTGCAAATTATAACGGATGTCCTGATATCATATGCCGAATATTCTTATATTTTATATAGATTCTTTGATTTAAAATTGATTTCTTTTTATTGAAATTGTTACCTACAATTTTCGAATACAACAATTGAAATTTTTTGACAGATTCAAGTTCTTCAAGCTAAGAAATGTATCATATTCTTTAATCAATTTCAAATAAATTCTAATTTTAAATTTAAAACTTTGTCATGTAAAATTTATAACATTAAGAATAAAAGAACAAGTGATAATATCTTTCTTTCTCAAGATTTGAGAATTAATCTTAGAAATATAATTTTGGAAGAATATTCGATGATTTTAAGACACCTGTACATTTGATAATCTTATACAATATATACATTCGCATATGTACAACTTTTGCGTCACTTTATCGAAATCGACTAAAAAGCCAGAGTTTGTTGCATTCATTATTATTTTATCACACAATAATGGTAATTTCGACTTATGTAAATACATGAATCAAATTTGCATCAGTTGAAATAAATATAATTCTGCAATGAGGAAAATAAATATAATCATTTCTAGCTCCAGAACATCCCAGGAAAATTATATTATTCGAGTGCAACAATAACACGTGTTGCTATTAGATGGTTATCAACAGCAGATTCTGTTATAGGTAAGAATATAGCTTTTATGTTTGAAGAAAAAAGAGCATTGATTGAAAATAATTTTATTTCTTTCCCATGTATAAATGTATTAATGATACATCTATGAATATTAATAATATATGAATACAGTTGTTAAGGAGATGCTGAGGATCAATCAGGTTAAAGAAATCTTTACTCCTTTTACCATGATTGATCAATCAAACTATTCAAAGCGTCAGTTAAACATTCAAACAATTAAATCTGTAGCAGTATGAACTAAAAAACATAAGCTCCTTGCCATCAAAAACAAGAAGAAGAAGAAGCTTTAAAGCGTTCTCAGCATCTCCTTCATTGCAGCTTACATGTTATAAAAGTATTACAACTTTCGCATATTATAGTATGTTTCCTTTATCTAATTCTTAATTAGAATATATAAATTTGTGTTACAAGATTACAAATATTAAAGAAACCTGTAGATCTTGGATGGATTATATTTATATATATTTCTTTAAGTACAAATTATTAATGTAATTTCAGCATCTTCTAAAGAAAGAAAAGGAGCAGCTAACATACAAACAAATATGAATGACGATGTTCTTTTGAAAGAGGTATTGAGCATTATGTTGTTTTTTTAGAATTTTTTATTTTTGTCAAGTTCTGTATTAATTGATTAGAATTAATTAAAATTATATATATAAATAGGTTGGAGATAGCGGTATAATAGTTTTAAACAGACCTAAAGCATTGAATGCTTTAAACTTGTCCATGGTTCAAAAGATTTATCCTATTCTTAAAGAATGGGAATCTTCGAAGAAACTGGTAATAATAGAAGGTGCGGGTGAAAAAGCATTTTGTGCAGGTGGCGATATCAAAGCAATCGTTTTAGATAAAAGGGCAAACACTTTGGGTGCAGAATTTTTCAGAAAAGAATATACGTAAGTTGTAAAACAGTATCTATCTAAGCACAAATTAACATTTTATATATATTATTTATACTGGGTATATTTGTAAAAATTGGGATGAAATGAATATAATTTGTTAATAAAGTTAGATAACTAAAAAAAAGTTCATATAAATCTGTTTTATAAAAATGCTTTATTAAAGAGGTACAAACTTTCAAAAATAAGCAAGCAAAATTGTTTTTATAATTTTATTAGAGTTTTAAGTATTAGATGTGACCACTGATTGAACCAAATAACTCTTTTTTTTGTTATTATTTAAAGTCTGAGCTATACATCCTTTAGATTTCTATTACATATTTGCTTGTGTTTGACTTTAATTTGTTCAATGTAATATAATAATAATGTAAATAAAATAATTTTAATGTTTGTGAATTATTGTAATTTCATTTTTGCAATTACATTGAACAACTATTTTTCTTCATTATGCAATATATATTATATATGTGCAACTCCATCTAACAAGTTATAAAAACAATTTTACTCGGTTATTTTCCAAATTATATAATTAAGTTCTTTAATTAAGCATTTTCGGACATAATATTGGATATTGATATGAACTTTTTTCACCTATTTGATTCATTAATATATATAATACAATTATATGATACAATACAAATATATAAATACAATTTGATCCTAACTTTTATTCTGTACATTTATAAAGTTATTTTTTTCTTTTTTTTATAGTCTGAATTATTTGATTGGAACATATAATAAACCTTATATCGCTATAATTAATGGGATAACAATGGGAGGTGGCGTTGGATTATCTATACATGGCAAATACAGAGTCGCTACGGAAAAAACACTTTTTGCTATGCCCGAAACGGCGATAGGATTATTTCCTGATGTCGGCGGGAGTTACTTTTTGTCTAGATTGAAAGGAAAATTAGGTGTCTACCTAGGACTGACAGGACATAGATTAAAAGGTAAATTATCAGTTGAGATATTGAGTAAAACGTACACATGTACATATAAAAATATATTTTTAGGTATCGACGTACTTCTCGCTGGAATTGCAACGCACTTTGTCCCATCGGAGAAACTCGCGGATTTAAAACACGACTTGTTAGCATTACAAAATACCGGCATAATCGAGGATATCTTAAATAAATATCAACCGAAATTAAATCATGAATTCAGTTTGGCGCCTCACATGTCAAAAATAGAAAATTATTTCTCTGCTCCGTCTGTCGAAGAAATAATTGAGAGGTAAAACATAGATACTCGTCAATTTAAAGTTAATATTTTTTAATTAATAATCTAAGAAATCTAATTTTTTTGCAAAGACTAAAGAAAGATAATTCAGAATGGGCCCAGAAGACTATAGGCATACTGCTCCAGATGTCTCCATCTTCTCTCAAAATTGCTAAAAAAGCAATTGATGAAGCAAATGGAAAATCATTAGCAGAGTGTTTAGAGATCGAATATAGATTAGCGTGTAGTGCTCTGGAAGAAGGCAGTGATTTCTACGAAGGTAATTAAATAAAGTTTCATTTGCATTTAGCAAGTTTCTTCCTTGTTCTTAGATATCTCTTTTTAGGTGTCAGAGCTCTCCTGATCGATAAAGACCAAAAACCGGTATGGAAGCCGTCGTCCTTGGCCTATGTTACTGATGAATATATAAATAAACAATTTGCAAGACTTCCTGCAGAAAAAGAATTAAAATTATGTGCTAGCAAACTGTGAGAAAAAACTTTATTATGAATATTGTTACGAAGCTTTACTATGAATGTTGTTATAAAAAGAATAATGTTTATAAAATTTTTTATATTCTTATTTTATATAGATTATAAAATTTTATTAAAATTATTAATGTATGTGTAATATTCTTTTTTTTCTTATTCAATTTTCTATATTTTTTTATAATGGATTTATCAAATTATTATTTGTCTAAATAAATGACATATACAACTATGTAAAACATAGAATAACATATTTTATTTATATAAAATAATGAAGGAAACAAAGTACTTACAACAATTAAGTACTATCATATAAAAAATATGTATTCTCATGTTTTTAATTTTAATTTTTATTTTGGAAGCGACTCTTTTTTTTGTAGGATTTATTTATATAAATTAAATTCATCAAATTTTCAAAATTTGATTAATCCTATTTACATATTTATGTGAAATTTTAACTTTAATGATAAATTAATTTACAGATAATATATAACTGTAAAGATTGTTCTATAACATGTAGCACATAATTTATGCATATGTATATATATATGTGTATATATATATATATATATATATATAATGTACACACACACACACACACACACACACATATATATAAATTATAACCGAAACATTAAAAATGACATGTTAAAAATGTGTATATATATATATATACATACATACACACATACACATGTATACATATACACACACGTTATTTTTTAATTAATATAACTAGGTTATAATTGAGATATATGCAATTTCCTATTTAAAAAAACAATACATTTAAACAATTTGAATTATTTTAATGAATTTTTTACTATTGCGAAAAAAATTGATGACTTGTATTCTGCATTTCCTGAATAATAAATTTCAAAAAATATACAAAATATTGGCACAATACAAATAGAAGACTATAGAAGTAAAAATCAAATATAAAGGTATATATAACACCAGCAATTAAATATAAAATACCATTCAGTAGTGTCACGCATTCATTGATGTACTATTAATTTTATAAATTATTCACACAAGAAACAAAATGAGAATATTAAATCAACCTGACTTGCAAAAAGTACGTATTACATTTTTTAATTTTCTAGATGCCATAAAACATGAGATAACTATTCACCGTTAAATATAACATTACTGATCAAAAAGAAGAAAATTTACAAAAACACTTGGAATTCTTAAATAATTCATTAGTTTTATTTATCAAAACGTTTTTATTTCATTTTTCAGCACGTATTAATGATTATTCATCTAGTGTGACTCGCAAAATGATAGGATTCCACGAAATTTGTATTGGAGTTCGAAGAAGGAATGACACTTCGCCCGAGTTGTTCGCATGTCAATGTTAAATAAAGAAAATTAAAGTCCTATCATTCGCGTGTACAATGTTTTCGAGAATATTCGTCTCTATTTGTGGAAAATTTCAAATTTGTTTTACTGCTTGGATTCTCTATCTTTTTTGAGATCGGTGAAACAGTATTCCTCTCCTATGCTGATTCGCGTGAAGAATATTACAATTCTGATCAACATCGTTATTAGAGGAAAGATAAATGTATGATGAAAATCGAATCTGTCGAAAATCTGTCTGTGTACAATAATAGGTACGTTCAATCGATATACTGTGCAAGCCAACGGAAGCCTTCGCCGTATCCCTGTCGCTTCAGAACAGAGCACATAAATAATTCCAGTGGACGGCCGGGTATCTCATTACGAGCGACTTTACCCTAAAAGTAAAAAATTATTGTTGCATAAAAATTTTAGATAATAATTTAGTGTATTTCTATTAGTTGATGTAGCTTGAAAATACGGTCATTATTCTAACTTGTATAATTTTACCTTTCCTGTTGTTTGCCCATACAAATTAAAGAAATTCCTAAGTTCGTCCTCAGAAGCCGCAGATGGTTTGTCAATTTTATTGCCTAGCACAAGAACCGGACATGCGCTGAGTTGTTCGTCAGTTAATAATGCATCCAGTTCGGTTTTTGATTCTGGTAATCTTGATCTGTCACTCGCATCGACGAGGAATACTATCGCATCAACAGCCGGAAAGTAATCCTTCCATACACGACGTGCTGGAAATATTTATTTCGCACAGATGTAAATAACTATACATTGTAAAAAATAACATTTCATCAGATGTATTTTACATGTATTACCTTGAGTATGGCCTCCCAAATCAAAAGTTGTGAATCTCATATTTCCAATAGACAGTTCTTCAGATGCTGAAAGACAAAAAAAAATTAAGAATAACTTACCAATACAAGTTCATATTTCATAATTTATTAACTGATACTACGGGAATATATCATTTTTTTTTCTGTATTCTTAAACAAAAAAAATACATGTACAAGTTTCATCACATACATGTAGATATAGAAGTTATAATAAATTACAGCTTTCCATTATGAAATGATGAATGTATTAAAAGATTGTTACTCATAAAATATGCATTTTTTAGGAATTGCTAGTGCACTATAAATAGGACAGCAATAGTACAAATAAGACACGGGAGAAAGAGATAAATTAGTCTAAAATTAGTTACTTGGATGCAATGTGGGTACATGTTGAGCTAAACGATCATCCTTGAGCATATGAAGCAATGTAGTTTTGCCCGCGTTATCCAAACCTAGGAAAAGAAGTTTGCCGCTCTTCTTCCATAATCCTGAAAACGACAGATGAGAATCATGCAGATTAAAATCACAACAAACTTATATAGGAAATCAGAGTTTCTATTGGAAATTTATGAAGTAAAAAATATCATTGGAATTGGGTAAAACAATAAGAATAAACAATACTTTGTCAGATAACAAACATATATATATATATAAATATGTAACATGTAACATAAGTAGTATTTTTTTTAAATATAAAGAACTTTATTTAGGATTGTCTTTTTAATTAAAGAAATTAGTATACAATTATTTCAAACAGACAATCATTCCTATAATAGAATTCTTTCAATAAACATGCATCTCTCTATACTCTGTACTATCACAGTACATCAATAGAATTAAGCTTCAGTTATCAGTTTAATAGTATATATCATATATAGTGTGTTTCAAAGTTAAAATCAGATTTTTGATTGTTCTATGAATAAGAATAAAATAAAAATCTTATAAATATAGATTCACACTTTATTATTATGTTAATTTGAAACAAGAAGTTTGTTTAATTTTTCATTTCAAAATACTGTCCTCATTTGTAATGCAAGATTGACATTTAAAAAATTGAATATTCTGCAAATTTCATATCTATCTTATTTCAATTTAGTATATACATTGATTCTGTCTATCAGTTCCTATTGCTGGATCGACTCTTATATGTCATACTATTGTTTTTACATTTGCCTACAGATAAAAATCAAGTAAAATCTGATGAGCTTAAGCTTTAACAATTGATCTTTTTTAGATAAACATTGTCAATCTATTTTTACATTATAAATCACAATTATAATTTTACATTATTACAATGCATCGACAGCGAATCCAGTATTTATGTTCGATATCTTCATTACAACATTTTAATATATAATGTATTTTAAATTATTACAACATTTAATTTATTATATTTTTAATATATTTTTAGTATATAATGAATAAGATTTTTTCATTTTAATATATAATGAATAAGATCTTTTCGGAAACTATGTTTATACATTTCTTTTTTATTTCTATTCATAGAACATATTGACAAAATTGGATTGTTTAACTTTGAAACACCCTGTATAATCAAATTATACAATTCTCTCCAGTTTTTTGATACAATTTTTCCATCAATTACATAGGAGCACATTGATGCGAATCAAGATTTTACTCACCAAGATAATTTAGCACTCCGGCGAACCAATCCCAAATAAACATATTTGTAGCTGCGTTTATATATCGTCTACACTGTGTTGCGTGTGTTTGTATGTGTTAACTAACGAATGACTCTGCAACAATAGTAAGACAAGTTAATGAGATCACCGTCTGCCAACGTGATCGCGCGAGTGATGCAGCTGATTTTTTGAAAATTTGCCTTCGTAATCTTGGCTATTGTGCCAGGAAAAGGTGCAGGAAATGCAAAGATAAATCAGCGGGTCGTCGTCAATGCAATATACGCTCATGTTCGCGATTCATTCTTCTTTTACACCTATCATTGAATCTTAGTCTTTCCTCTCTCTCTCTCTTTTTAATTATATTTATTTTAATCTTATACGTGAGAAAAGTGCAGTAAAAACGAAAGTTACGATGCGTGCTATTTGCGAATTATCTTCAATTTTTCTTGATCGTATATCGATGAATGATTTATAAATCAAAGACGACGACTCACTGAATCTCCCTCTCTCTCTCTTTCATTCACTGACACAAACACTTATCGTGGAAGGATTGTCGACACGCGGAGGCGTAAAATCGACGACCGATCGCTCCGAGAATCACATACACAGGGCGTTAAAAAAACAATCCGATTAGATCTGTCAACTCGTATCGGTAAAGGTGTTTGACATACCCACTGTGAAAAAAGCGTATGGAGGCCGCGGGGACGGAGAAAAGTGACTTTTCTCTCATCGAAAGAGCAACCCGACCACACAGAGCCCCGTTGGCTGGCAGTTGGCACTGGGTGACGTCTACTTCCGTTCGCCATGTTGCGTGCAAAATAGGGCTCCATCGGCGCGAAATTTTAAAAACGTCAATTTTTTTTAATTTTTTTCCCCATTTTCATTTTTCCGAGGAAGATGCATTTCCGAATCATCCTGTGCGAGAGTGAAAAGCTACGGTGATATGTAATTATCTGTGGAAGATAAATTCAAAAATAAAATGTCTTATCTTTTGGTCTATTAATGAGAGAGAAAGATGGATTCACAGGAATGCAGCATAGTCAATATAAATTCTGATGTTATCTTTGCTTAATAATTTTATTAATAAATGTGTTGTGAGATATTTTCAAATAGAGATTTATGAAATTATTTCTATTTATAATTCCACACGTGTCGAATGTGATGAACGAGAAAATAAACTTTTTATATAATTGCTCATTATACTTTATACACATGCACACGAGAGGATATTGATTCATTTTATGAAAAAAGTGCGTTTATGCGTTATGAAGTTGAAAAAATAATCTTTTCATCTCTTATTTCGCGTTTCAAGTGTACATGGAGAAACAGAGGACCGAAAACGTTATATGAAACACGCAACTACACACGAGAGATTAACGTTATTAAATTTCAATACGAATGAATTATTATTATATCAATGCTTAAACTATTAAACATGTATAATTACTTATATCGCAACAACTCAGCCTATGTGTTTAAGGATACTCGACATATTCTTACTCAGATTATCATTTCATATTATCGCTATATCTTTTACATCTTCTATAGTAATTATCTAATTAAATATTATTTAATACTAATGAATTAAATTAAAGAAATAGCGTAAGTTTATTACAAAATATTAATGAGATGCGTGTAATATTATATTCGAGTCTTTTGTAACTTAATATATCAAGAGTATTGATGATGTCGAAATTGCACGATATCAATTACTACAATTATTTGTACAATACATTTGTAGAATTGTCTTTTTCAAAGAAGAGAAATAAACTACATACATCTCGATCTCGAACTATAAAGAATAAACATTTTAATGTAAGTTTTGTATCAAAATTTGCTGGTGTTCGCAACATTACAACATTGTCTATTTAACTGTAATGTAAAACCAAAACTTTCTTCTCTACAATTACTATCAAGTCGGTTATCGATTACAAGTAAATCGCGATTTGCCTAGAGTATATCCGGATTAGTTTCATTTTTAAGGGACGAAACAGGCCACGATGACGGAATCCCGCTCAATTTGCTGGGTGATAAAGTAAACACCCTGCCCGCAGGGTCGTTCGTCATGGTCTTACTGTTCTGAAAAGTAAAGAATGCTGCTAAACCACTGCAGCGCAATCAGTCAAAAATGCATCGTAAAATTATAAGTCCATTTTGAAGCGTCCAGAGCATTAATAGTGTAAGTCAAATTAAGGATCGAACTTTAATAGGGAAACCGACAAAGTGTAAAATATGCCAACAAATTGATCATTTGTCTCTCGATATTTCTTCCTTCATAAATATACTTCATAAATATATCTTTGTCTTATATTGTTGTTTTACTTGTTCCATCATAATTTTCTTCAGAAATTTATAAACGCAGTACTATCTAATCCAATTTCGCTTAAACTATACAAACTGAGCGAAACAAGTTTTAACAACATAAATTACATTAATTAATATTCCCTTACGGTATTTTCGAGTTATCGAACTTCCTGTTTGAATCGCCGGGACTTACACCAATCCATTCTAGGCTCTCCGTACGCTCCAGGTCGCTTGATGTGCGTTTAACACGAGTTTGGGCATCACCTGCTGTGCGCTCGAATTTGCATCCGAACTGGCGGATTGGAGGGTATACGTGGGCTGCTGGGAACATGTTTCCATATGAATCGGCCAATGTGACTGTTGACACGGATAATCGCAATAAGCTGTGTTCCAACAACAATAAAACAACGCTTCCCGTCCACATTTAGCGCACCACTGCTTTCGTTTGGTCTCTTCGATACATCGAAGCTTTTCCTCTTCGGCCTCTTTGCGAGCTTCCTCGAGCGATCGTAACTTCTCTGCCTCTAGACTTGCACGCATCTCGCGCATGGTACGATCTGGAATTTAATTTAATTTCGTTCTCTGTGATGTTTACAGTGAGATTTCAAAGGTAGGAGGGGGGGCAGAGAGGGAAAGATAAACATACCAGTGTTGTGTTTCAATTCGGCCAGCTGTTGTTGATGCTTCCACTTCATATGTTCCATTTGCATCTTCAAGAAGAATATCTCCTGACAATTTTCGACAGTGCCGTTTTCACCGTTAATATAGGTCTGAGCCGCTTCTTTATAAGTCTCTTCCATCAATTGAGCCATTCTTTTCGCGAGCTCGTTTGCATTTTGATGTAAACGTGCGCTGATCGGTCCAGCCTGTGGAGGCAATAATTGATAAGAGGTGGATGTTTCTTGTTTATTCGGGGAAACCTGGATAAATTCATCTGTATTGAACAACGGGCGTGAAGTCGTGTTTTGTGAATTACGTGATTTACTAGGAAAGGACTTTTTAGCTTTGCTCTCCTTCTTTAAAAGCGAGTTGTGCTCTTTCGTCACATCCTTATTGCCTTGATAGTCGACTGTCGACGAAGTTTGTTTCGCAGCTTCTGTTTTTCCGTTATTCACTACAAATAGCACAACGGATTTATCCGCTACGGGATTTAGTATATTTGTCGATGATGATGACGAAATAGGATGAGTAATCTTTGCGCTTGAAGTTGGTGACAGTGTTATATCGATTTCGGGTATCTTTTGAACAGCCGGCAATTCTTTGTTGTTTAGAGATGTCTTGTTCATTATCATTGCGCTCGGCGAATTCGGTGACGACAGTTTCTCGTTTTCCTTGCTCGCAAAAATAGACTTCAACGCTTTCTCTGCATTCAATTTGTCGACTATTCTTGTTTTCGGTTTGTATACTTTACTGCTCTTCGCGATGCTCTTCGACGCATTTTCCGTTTGCGAAAGCGCTAATTTGGGATTGATGAGATTTTTCAAAAGACTTCTCTTTTGCGTACGCATCGTGTTGGATAATTCATTGGTTGGCGGTGTCGCAGGCTTAGGCGAATTCTCCGTGGACGATTTTGATTCGTCTTTCGATTTTAGCAAATTATTTTTCTCCGAGATATGTTTATTGACATTAGAAGTTGTCGCACTGCTACTTTCAGCGGCATTATTTGCAACCAAAGTATTCAATCGAGATAGTAATGTTTTTGCATTTTTCGACTTCTCATTTTTTACCATTTTATTTTGAGCAACTGGTTCAACTTGAATTTTCTTTTTTAATTTACTATCATCGTCTATATTTGTCTGCGAATTTGAAATATTCTTAACATCAACGATATCTGATTTTTTTTGTACTTTTGGCGTAACTTCGCTCGTCTTTTCACGTTTATCACCGTTTACAGATTCTTTCGAATTATCGTTTGTTTCGCCATTATCAATTGACTCGTCGTTCTGCGATTTCTCTTTAATCGGCAGGTTCCGTCTTCTTACAGGTGTCTTTTTCTTTGAAGTCACAGAGAGCTCGGAATTGGGAAAATAATTGTTAGGTTCAAGCGGATTGTAATTCGGCAGCATCAACTTTATCTGCATCGGGTCATTCGGATTGTACTGCACTTTGGGTGGCGCAAATTTGAATTGACCGTACATAAGCGCGAGTTTTCTACAATGTCGAGTGATTTCTCGCACGCATTCATCCATGTCGGACTTTCGTTTACGTGGAGACGGCGCGGGCGGCTCTTCGGAGTATAGATAAAGATCTTTTGGCGGCACCCAGGCGCGATCGTGCTCACCGAAGAAACGCACGTCCACAAATCCCTGGGAGTTGACGCGTGGCATCGCTTTCGCGGGCCAGAACGGGAAACCCTTCAGTTTGGCCCATACCAGCGGATGCGGTCGACGGCAAGGCTCGATAAACCAGGACGGTTGAGGTCTCGGCAAGTTTCTCCCATGCGCGTAACAATCGGGACAGGCCTCGATCTCCGAGACTTCCTGACGCGCCACTTTGATCATTTGCTTCGCCGCGTTTGTCAGCTTCAATGTGTCCGCATAAACACCACCACCTACCAGATAGCGGCATAATTTATCTATTAAACCTAATAATAGACTTATCGATTTAAACTAAACGTGAATTCGAAAGCAAGCAAGTTAACGTACAGGTGTTAAACACGATGCAATTATGTTGGATCCATTTCGCGTCAGCCATAAATGCGTCAGTGCTGCCATAAAGCTTGGATCGCACATTCGATTCCAAAAGGCTCAAATCCATTGGCTTAACAACATAATCCAGATAGTTTGGTACTTCTGTGATGTCTACTGGTTTGGAGAATGGTTCCGACTGTGTAAATAAAAGTGTTATTTATAAATAAATATCACTAATAGTGTTATTTATAAATAATTATCCATTATAAATAAATATCCATTATATATAAAATGTCCATTATATATAAAATCCATTATAATAAAAATTGACATATTATATAAATATTTAATGACAAAAATAATGCACATACGCCAGGATAGTCGCGCAATCTCTCGACCACGTGCTTCAGTAACATGCACAACTGATCCACAGATAATTGCGCCATGGCCGTGGAACGCGTCTCGGCATTTTCAGCTTTCAAAATGGTTGCACATTCCGCACATATCCATTTCTCCAAGGAAGATGGCATGCCACCTATACATTTTCGATGCCATGAGCGAGGACATGCGGTGCAATGAGCATCGACGTTTTCTTTATGACATCGCCAGCAGAATTGATCACTTGTATTCTTTAGTTTCTTTCTCTTGCTCCTAGTGTTGTTCTCCTCCGCAGAAGATTCCATTGCTGTTGAATTGCTAGAAATATAAACACTTTTCTTTTTATTTCCAACATATAACATTTACAGTTTCATTTGTTTTATAACAAGAGTAATAGCAAGAATCAATTGTTTTCTACATTTAAATGCAAATTTTCCATGAGAATGTTATACTAACCTTAAAGCCTTTCGTTTTCGTTTTAAGGCAGATCCCACTTTTGCCACAGAGTCTTTGTCATCTTCAATTTTAATATCCTTCTCTTCATCCATCTTTTGAGAATCTGCATTTGACATCTGCTTTTTATCCATATTTTGTGTCTCTTGCTTCTTATCTGCTTCATTATCATCCAATTCTTTCTTTACAGTTACTTGTGAGTTTGAATCATGTTTGTTTTCGCTTTCTACATTATCAGCATCCTTTTTTTGCGTATCTGCACATTTATTGCTTGTATCCAAGGTTAAGCTTTTCTTCTCCTCTGTATCGATGCTATTGTTCGGTTCATTCTGCTGATTGACTGTCGAAACAATTGATGATTCTTTCTCATCAGCTTTTGACTGCACAGTTGTATCTATTTTATTTGCAGCACGAGATTTCACAGGATCTTCACAGCTTTCATGGGACGCCATTTTGATTATTACCTTCAGTACAAAGAATGTGATTGGAGAGAAGTATCGACATGGATACATATATCTACACGTATTATCTATTTATGTAATCATAATCACATTATCAGTGTATAATGCAATAAACTATGTAACAGTTATTACAAACTACCAGAATAAACTTTCATGGATACATAAGACACATTTATTGCAGCAACACTTAAATACAAAGATAAGTAATAACAGTGTTATCTTTCACAAGTTCTTACTGCCTATAACATTTCCTACAGTGATAACAACAAATGCTGCTGTTAATAGCAGCAATTTAGCAGCTGTACATCCAAATGCAGCATATCATAGGACATTTTGACAGTGATTATCGCCTTTGTAGAAGCAGCCAAAGTGCTGCTATTTGCAGAAGCACGCGAGTACATGTGAGAGAGCTGTAGAGCAATAAACAGATCTTTACCTTGTAAGGGGCTATCTCTATCTTTCTCTCTCTCTCTCTCTCTCCAGGTAAATACAATGGCTGTGTGTTACTGGTCGTAGCTGTACCACCCTCAAAACATACTCGGACCGCGAGCTGCGCTTAATAAACCGCCAATGTTAGTGAATAGCGAACCGCAATGATGAAATCGACGTTGGTATCTTATTCCCTCGGCCTCATATCGGACAATTTGCCTTCGATGCTACGATGCCAGCCTCGCTTGATCCATCAGTGGCGCCATCTCTCGGCGATTGTACTTTTACGACGCTGATCACGTGACGCTCGTCCTCCGTCCCGCTACGTCTGCGGCTACGTCTTTATTCGCGTTGCACGTCTCTGTTGACAGACGAAGGAAACGCATGACAAGACGTATTATTTGCACGCTAATTTAGAAGTTCTTTTTCATCATATACTCTCCGCATCTCTATCGCATTCCTCTCCTTTTCCTTGAATATAAATGAGTTATGTTTCACTCAAAGAGAATTGTTTTCTTATAAGACTCTAAACGAGAACAGATTTATTTACCGTTCTTAACGATGATGATGATGCTGTTGCTTCGGGTTTTTTTCGAACACTGGGGTAACGACTCCTAAGATACGTCGTACCGTTGACAGTGGCGGAAAATGAGGTTAGACGTAGCTGTCGCATAGTCGTGTCTAGAAGAAAAGCTCGACTAGCTGTTATACCTGGTTTGTGTCTGCCTCTTGTCAGGGAGCGTTGATAATCGCGGTTGTCATCGATAGCGCGAGCTTCGCGAAAAATCCCCCGACGATGGTCTTCCTGTTTGTTATTCGATCTTGAAAGTAGTGTCAGAAATCAGGATGTTTCGGGCGAATAAACTGGCCAAAGTAATCACGATATCAATAACAAGTTTCGTCGATTCATTCTAATATGATCAGACGTTTCCTGCATTTATTCTTTATTTTAAAATTAATTTAAAATTCAATCCAGATTCTACGATACTCTCTCCCTCACCAGTTCAAATAGGTTATGTCACGCTTGGTCACGTGGTCACGTATCTCTCTCTCTCTCTCTCTCTCTCTTCCTCCCTCTCGCTCTCTCTGAGACTGTTCTTTTTAGCTGCGCTACTGCACTAGTGCAATTAGTTAGAGTGAAAGAAAGTATGTTCATCTCTTTCTAACTTATCGCACTAGTGCAGCAGTGCAGCTAAAAAGAACAGACCCTCTGTTTCTCACTGCGACGAAGCGATAGCGCGACCGAGGCGATGTCAAAACGAATGGCTGTGACGGATTATAATTATGGATCGTGTAGATAGTAAACAGTCGTACGTACAACAGCTGTGAGCCTTTATCTAGTCCGAGATAAATGAGGATTATCACGGGTAGCGTGTCACGATGAAAATTGATCGCTGAAGCGACTCGATTAATTTTCAAGGGACATCGAGGCTGGCGGAAAGAAATTATGCCTCGGAAACTCTCTCGTGACAGCTCGATGAAGTAGCGGTGCCTCCTAGGTTATGTTGTTCTGTCAAAGTGTTCGTCGCCTATCGAAGGATTCGTCGCCACGTAGAGAAGAATAAGAGATAATATAATATGGGCGATCATATCGGCGATAACATATTGATCCCGCAGGTCGACAACGTCGTGTTGATCGACAGGAGCGATGGCAGTAACAAGAGCATGGATGGGACACTATGCATCAGTGGTCATCATCTCATCTTATCTTCTAGGCAGGACGACGGGCAGGAGCTCTGGGTAGGCGATACTGATGATTATAAAATTGTTCAAATCAGTCCTCAATTTCTCATCAGGTTCTTTATTCTTGTTAGTTGATGAACCGTAACATCGACGTTGTAGAGAAGAAACTGAACACCCAGAGCCCAGGCGGTAGCATAATATTGAAATGCAAAGACTTTCAGATTCTTCAGTTAGATATTGGTTCCACTAATGATTTAATGAATGCCATATTATCCATAGAAAAGCTGATATCATTAGGTAATTTGATTGTGATATTTATATTATTCGCGAAAATGAGATTATTCTGTCATTTACTTTGCAGATCAGACTCTACAATATCCATTCTTCTATCGACCACAGACAACCAACAATGTCATGGTACAAGTAGAGGATGGATGGACAGCGTTCGCACCTGTCTCTGAGTGGTCCAGATTGTTGGCGGCACACGGGGATGAGTGGCGCATTAGTTATTTGAATAGAGACTATAAGGTGTGCAATTCATATCCATCGGCGGTCATAGTGCCACGTCAGGTGGATGACAAAGTTGTCGTAGCTTCTGCTAGCTTTAGAGACGGCGGAAGATTCCCTGTTTTATGTTACAGACATGAGGGAGGGGTAAGTAATGAATTGTGTTTTTAAAATTATAAAATATAAATATATACTTGAGTGTGCACAATTCATTGTAGAGTATACTGTTGAGAAGCAGTCAGCCATTATGCAGTGCTACTGGTAAAAGATGTAAGGAAGATGAAAGACTGTTGAATGCAGTTTTAGGTCCGGGAAGACGTGGGTAAATATAACTGGCTGCTACACGATTGTCTATAAATCATATCTATTATTTTTAGACACACTTGTTATAGTCATTGTGAATCTCACTTACAGTTACATAGTGGATACGAGATCCATTAGTCAAGCACAGAGCGCCAGAGCCAAAGGTGGAGGCACGGAAATGGACATTGCTTATCCACAATGGCGAAAAGTACATAAACCAGTTCCTCGACCGCACGATTTAGCAGATAGTTTCTACAAGTTAATAGAAGCTTGCAACGATGTGAATAGTTCTACTTCGCAGTGGCTATCGCGATTGGATAGCAGTGGATGGCTAACTGCTGTACAAAGTGCTTTAAACGCAGCTTGCGTTACCGCGCAATGCCTGCATCAAGAAGTCGCAGCTGTGCTAGTGCATGGTGTGTGTGTGTATATATATATATATATATATATATATTAAATATTAATTACATAATATTTAATATATTGTGAAAATTTATATATTCGTGTTTACACACCATCAAATCCCCATCTCCTTTGAAATATATATTAATCTTGTAATAATAATTTTGCACAACTTTAATTTTCAGGCAGCACAGGTAGAGATTCTACATTAGTGGTAACTAGTTTAGCCCAGGCGATCCTGAATCCTGATTGTCGGACGGTACGAGGACTCCAGGCACTCATAGAACGCGAATGGTTGCAAGCGGGCCATCAATTTTTCAGCCGAACCCGTTGTGGAGCGTATCAGTCCTCGAGCTCGCAGAATCCAACGCACGCGCCGACCTTCTTACTCTTTCTCGATTGCCTGTATCAGTTGCATCATCAATTCCAATTCAGTTTCGAGTACACGGTAGATTTACTTATCAGATTGTATAAGCACGCCTATTCTTCAAACTATGGTACATTTTTAGGTATGTCAAATATAAATTATATATTTCTGCTTCATTTACTTTCTTTATTTTAATTATATATATATATATATATATATCAATTTAAAAATATATAATTTTATTTAATATACACGTATATATAAACATATTACGCGGTTCCATAGGTGATTCGGAAGCGGAGAGAATAAAACTACGATTATCGGAACGAACTTATAGCTTGTGGTCGTATATGAATCAACCGGACGTTTTAGAACAGTGGATAAATCCGTTGTACGAACCGAATCCCGGAGTGATCTGGCCCAGCGTCGCACCAATCAGTATTAAACTATGGAGGGAATTGTATCTGGCACATACGAACGCAGCTTCGTGGGATGGTATGCTTTCTTACGCAAAGCAGATCAAACAGAATCACACGGCGGTGCGCAAGGTGGCCGGACAGTTGCATGCGCAGATCAAGCAAGCGTTGGAGGAGATTCGGTCAGATCCGGATATGTCGAGAGGGGACGCGGACGGTCAGGAAGAGCATCCTCGTATCGCGCAATTGAGTCTAGAGTCCCAGAGTACTTGATATAGATTTGTAGAAACCGAGAAAATCTAAAGTCCGCACTGCTGTTCAACGATCTTGTCAATATGCCTTCGATTATATAATACCACGTTAGCTCGTAAGAATCAACTGTCTCCGCGAATAGCCTGCCACGAATGCCGAAGCCTTCGTAATCATGAATTCTCGATTAATTCTTTTTCTTAATATTTCTCTCTGAGATTACAAAAATATATATATCTATTCATCTATTAAAAAAATGGCTCTACTGGTTTTATAAAGCGGATTACATCTGCTGATATATAAAGTCAATCTTGTATATATCTATATGTGTGTAAAAGATATCTCCCGTAATCGACATACATCACATTATGCTCTTCGTCTGTATAGGAAAATTTGCATCACGAAAAACGTGTTTTGTGTAAACGATTCAAACAACACGAGATGAATTGTGATATTTTTTATTTTATAAAACGCACATAACTTGTGTGTATCGCATGTAATAATCTTAACAGTGCATATATTACATATAATAATTTATCAATTATTATATATAATATATATATCATTTCCCTCTTATATTATATACATGTATAATTTATTTATCCAAAAGTAATGTAAGCAAATAAAAATGGACTGTATATTACAAATCCACCATTAAAGAACGAGGGTAAAACTGGCGGATTTTTCATTCGAGTACAGAGAGAGTAAAGGAAATCTCGCTTGTTCGGGGGTACGGACGAGTTTTTACAGTTATTCGGGAAGGATGGCGGGAGGGCGGCGGACCAAAGAGAGAGGAGGAGAGAGAGAGAGAGGAGTTAAGGGCGGGATTGCTGCCGCTGCTGAGGCAAAAGGGGGAGAAGGCTGGAGGGGAAAGCGCGGCAGGTGTTCACACACAAAGAAACTGAAAGGGAATCCCACGGCCATTGGCTCCGCACTCAGGAATGCATCGAGTTTCGTCGTGCATTCGCATTTCGCGATCAAATATATGTACATACACACACACATATACGCATGCATGATCGCTTAATACAGTAAAACGAAGAAGGAAAATTTTATATATATATGCATTTATGTATGTGTTAAATATGATACGTAAAACATATGCACATGCATACGTATACTATTTGTGAGTTGCGTAAAAATTAGAGAGAGAAAGAGCGATCACAGGTATAAAAATTTTTAAGTAAATCAAAATGGTCGCCGTTAGAATCCTAGAAGGAAAGTGTACAAAATCGCGTTACGTGACTCGAAAAATCTTCGGAGGGAAATGGACAAATTTGAGCGGGAAAGATGCAGGAATTTGAAGGAGAACAATTTCGAAATGAAGAAAAGATCTATTGCGTTTCGATTCCTCAAGCCACGTTTCCAGCGCGTCGCGCGAAACGAAAGGTGTACGATCTCTCTCGCTCGCGCGTGGAAATTCGACGACGAAAGATGCAAAGGAGAAGCCTCCGCACATATGCAAGCATAAGTTTACTCTCTCGAGCGGAGAGTCTAAACATCCCAAGGACTAGAACGTCCTTCGACGCGCTCGCGACGCCATTAGGCATTGTGTCTTGGCAGCGTGCGCGCGCGCGCGCACGAAGAGAGAGAGAGAGAGAGCAAACGAGCGAGCGTGCGCGCGGAGATTATTATACCGGTTTCGAATCTGCGTGATGGAGATCCGTGAGAAATTGCGACCTCGCGCCCGTGCGACCGTTATCGTACTCGTGGTAAGTACCACTAAGCAACTTTGGAATATATTTTGATATGTATCTTTTCCGTCTTTTTCAGTTACCTCACGATATCACTTTTCCCAGAAGAAGCTTCTCGGAGACGGGAGAGAGAAAGAGAGAGAGAGGAGAAACAGGTGTCCACCACACGCGCGCACGTTGGTCGGCTCCTTGCGTCGAGGACAGGTCCAGTATCCTTGGATGAGTGTGGATCTAGTCACGCATACAATCGTGAAACGTGGACTGAATTCAAACCCATCCAGGGCCGTTGGACGGGTGATCGACGACGGTTCAACGGGATGAGTCTCTTCCCTCTTCCCTTCGGCGCCGCGTCTTCCTGGGAGTCGTCTTCGCGGAAATTTCCTCGTCTTCGTATTCACGTCCAAGGGAGACACAAACGATGTTGACGGAGCCAGAAAGCAGAGTGATGCGTTCGCTCGAGAATGGCATTAGTGGCCTCACTTGACGGTAGGAGCATTCTCAGAGAAGGGAGCATTCTCGGAGAAGGGGGCCCGCGCCGCTCTCCTGTCCTGTCTCTCCCTCCTTCGGTCCCGCGATCTCTCTTTGTCGTTCTGGTCTTTCTCCCTTACCATCTCTTTTCTCTTTCTTCGCAGGCAGGCACTTACCGCCCCGGTGGGGCCCTTACGTGGAGGGGAGAGAAGGGTCGCTTTTTCCCAAGGCGTCCGGGGATCACAACAAAGAAAGATGCGATTTTCGAAGCGAAGAGCGGAGAACGAAGCAACCGCCGAGAGACGTTTCTGGACAGCAGCCTGTGTATGTGTGTACGAGAGCGATAGATAGATCTCTTTCTCTCTCTCTTTCTTGCGTTAGGAGACTTATACCGGAAAGCGATGCCGTTTTCTCGAATAAAACGTGCTCGCTCGCTCCGCTTCCGCGAATCAGCGAGATGAATGCCGGATTCTTTTTTTTATCAGCTCGCCAAAGGAAAGTAGTATAGTCTCGTTATACGTAATCTTATTATAATCATATCCAAGTAGTATCGAAATGTAAACTCAGGGGGTTTCGAGTTCCTATTTCACAAAAAAAATACCGAAATGAGCGCCACTGTCGAAAACAAAACTGCTATAAGGACGACTTTGAGGGCGTTTTCTTACCTGAAATGAAAATTCAAAGAATTTTAGTAACGGTTGTAAGCGACAAAAAATTCAAGTTTGACAAGGTTGACAAAGAATGCAAGAATGCATTATTTCTTTCTTAAAAAATTTTACGTCGAACGTTTTCCCACGCTACAAATTAAGCAAAAATTATATTATTTTTTTTTAATAAAGATATTTACCAAAATTTATCATAATTCTTTTTAGTAAAAATATTTTTAAGATGAAGAATTGAAAAATTATTGGAAAAATTTTTAAACTTACTTGAATTCATAAAGACATTTTTTTGAAAGACTTGAGAATTATAGAATGCGTGTAAATTTCTTGAAGAAGAACAACGGCAAATGAAATTTAGAAAAACATCCGATGATATATATATATCTTTATCGCTCTAAAGATTTCAGTTTAAGACGATTCCTTTATATGCTAATATGTCTTATTGTATTTTAGATGTTCGAATATGACGTTTTATATTGGCGAATTCTCAGGTATAGGACGTCGATTGTGTTGCGCAATAGCGAGCGTGACCTTGAACTTCATCTTCTTTTATCTTTCTCCCACAGCATCCTGAGAGAAAAGCTACCGCAGCGGTGGTTCGTCCAAAGAGATGCGGCGTCATTTCGTATTCAAATAACACCAAGTTTTATCCTTTTATTTTTAGCTAAAAAAATATCCGAATAATAATATAATTATAATTTCAATCGGTTAAATTTTCAATCGTAAAAATATAGACTAACGTATCTTGCCTTTTAATTATCATTTCCGACTTTGCTTTACATAGTTTAACTATTTCAATCAATAGTTTAAATATCTCCGAAATTTGCATCACTAATTTCTCATATCTTTTAACTATATTTTATACATCTTGCATCCTGAATATTATTTTATTACCACGAATCGTGCGTGATAAATATCGTATATGATGTCAATGTAATATATACGAATATATTAGATCTCTAGGTCCGGTTGCGAACCGCTTGGGACTTTAGAGAGAGTCTCTAGAAACCGAGAAATCTCATGATAAAAAGAAAAGAAAAAAAGGCAACGATAACGCGCAGGATGTAGGAAAATTCTGAATGTCAGGAAAATACTGTAGGCATTGTAAAGCAGAACGCAACGGTAGTTTTGATAAATAAAAAGCTTATTCTCGCGCGATTGGATCTCAGTCGTCAAACGTCTCATTGAAACAATTTATGTAGGAAGAATATTATTTCAAAATTTTTATTTTCTAAGAATATATATAGAAAAAGACACGTGGTCAATCTCACGACTGAAGGAAAATCGCGCAATTATCGATAAAAGATTACTTTAATTTAATCATTTATTTTTTCTGAATTAAATGAAAATTTTTGATTATCTTTTTAGGATATTGTTTAGAGAGAGTGATTGGATTATATCAAAAATATCGTGACTTTGAGGCTTGAGTTTGACTGGAAAAATCGGAGCACCGCTGTCGAGAGGTAAGACTAAAGACGGTTGCGAATAGAAAAGAAGAAAGATAGAGAGCGAGAAAAAGAGAGAAAGGGAGCGCTAGGTCATGGAAAACGAAGGGGAAGGAGAAGCTCGCAAATTGTCGTTTCCATAGTGATTTATACGTCGAGCTCTCCCTGAAGTATCTTGGAGCGAAAAATCAGTGCAAGACCGATCTAAAAATTCGATTCAAGCGCACTCTATCGATTGCAAAGCGAATCTTCAAGCGAAATATTTACCTTTAAGATAAGATTTCCAGAAAATGATTGCAGCGTTATCTAATGAGGGTAATTAAATGTCGTTTATCGTCTAAGGATAAGTTTATACTGCTTTAAAAAGTAGCAAAGAATCAATATAGATGACTCTGATTGTATCAATAGACCGCGGCAAAGTCTGTTTATATAGGCTGCATTCTCTGAAATTCATTGTTAGTATTATAAATCTATGATATATGTAACATATAGATTTGCAGAAAATAAATTAAAAAACAATCTATTAAATTTTTAATTAGAAAGTTTTTCATTTTTAATAATTTAATAATTGTACATTTTTATTCAATACGTTTAGGTTTGTAATTTTATTTCATCCATCTAAATAATTTTATCTGTTTTTATTCTCTTTTTATTCATTTATAATAATTCGATATATTTTGATCGAGCAAGTTTTAAATTCTCATTTGATTTTGATCTCTTGTAAAAGTTTAATTTACTAATCGACTTATTTTTCTTAAGAATACTTTTTGTCTTTTCAGACAAAGAAGATTTTTTAAGAAAATCCATTCGTTTTAAAGCAACACATGTGCACGTGTTAGCAGAGTTACTACAAGACGATGCTTCGAGGACTAGCTTTCTTTTTGCCTCGAGAGACGAAAGAGAGAAGATGTATAGTAGCACGCATGAAGCAGCGCGTTCCTTGCATCGCGGTAAACTGGTATTTTGCCAACCAGCAATCGTGCAAAACGATGCTCCAATAATTCAATGCTATTCGGAGCTAACGGAATTATCGCCTTCAACCGCGAGTTGAAACATCAAACGAGTAATTAGCGGATCACGTTTGCGAAGGTAATATAATCGCATTGCAATATTTAGAAACAAAGAAGAAAAAATTTAAACTACACTTGAGACGCCTGCGAGTTCAAAAAGAGTTTAAGTTGTAAAAACAGCAACGCTGTTCGTTCAAAAGCGAAATAGAGAAGACACCGACGAAAGATTCTAGAGCATCGTAGACGCCTTCGCTTCTAGAAGCGAGAAAATTCAGTGAAAGAGTCGCTCGATGCAGTGACAGTGCTTTCGAGGTCAGTAGACCATGCGAGTCTCGCTGTAAACTTTAAATCCATTTATACGACCGTCTCTCTCCTGGCGCTTTTTTGTAAATACGCTCAGCGGCGTAGCGGCTGTCGTTTCCTGAAACGTCAACCACTGAAACGACGATCACGTGCCGATCGCGCGAAAAATTCATCTAAACGACGAGGAGATATCATGTGAAGCTATCTCGATGAGAAGACTTTGCCTCTTCAAGTAACGGAAATTTAAAAGCAGCGCGAGTTTGCGATATCGTATATACACATACGCGTGCAAATTCATTTTGAAATTGGAGGTTTTAAAATAGTAGAAAGGGAGGGAGAGGGATGAAAGCTTTCTTCTTTTCTGAGCAAGAATACGCATCAGCGTTCAGATTTTTCTTCGTTTTCCAGGAGTAACCAGCAGGGCTACGTCACTGGCGGGGTCCTCGTGACACAGATCAACGGCGGCAACTATAACGGTATCCATCGGCGTGACCTACTCTCGGCGAAGTCGCGCTCTGTCGGTTCTCCACCTTCGTCCTCTCTTCGTTTTACGTCTTTCTTCTGGACTCTCCTTTCGTCCAGGGCCGAATGGCTAGTATGAGCATAAAATGTATATTTGTCGATTTTATACAGAGATTATATTATGCCCTATCAAAGAGGCGATATATTTCATATTCTATAGGACAAAAATATTCATCTTACACTTAAAATATTAATATATACAATATTTTTTCCCAAAAGACTATGTATCGCTCTAATAATATTTAAATGTTCAATTTTATTCCTTCTAAACAGGAGTATCGGAGACCTGCCGTCTTGCGATTGCCTCGTCTACTCTCCTGTCCGACCGGAAATCACTGGAATCAGGACATGGGCGAGGCGAGATGATCGGCCGCCACTGCCGTATAGCATCTTCTCTCCCGTATGCGGTGGGCTACACTTTTTCTTCCACGTGAGAAACATCGGTATGGGTCGTATGGGCGGACGACCGGACCGCGGCTGATTACGGACAGTAATGAAAGCGGCCTGCTTGAGCACGGTGGGTAGATAGGTAGGTGCGCATCGCCGTCTGTCATGTAGCCGCGCACCTTCCGCATCTTTTGCCGCGCCGCACCTTCGTCGTCGAAGCCATCAATGAGACCGACGACAGCCGTCGCCGTTGTCGTTCCTCGCGCATAGCAGGGTGACATAGCCGAGACCTTGCGAGAGAGAGATTCGAATTGTCGATTGTCACGGTTCAACCGCGGGTCCAGCCGCTGGACCAGCGAGTTATGAGAGCGATCGCGCCCTTCGTTTTTCTGGTGAGCTTCTGCTTCAGGTCAACTCTTTATTGCTTTCATTTTCTGTGAAGATGAGTGAACAAAGTGTTTGTCACGTGTTAAATTACTTGTAGAGATGGATGAATCGAAAGAGGAAGTATTCATTTCTACGGGATCGCCTAATTTGCGGATTACTTGGTTTTAATTGTCATTTGATTCTACCTCTCATCATTTTTAATTAATTCCGCTTATTGTCAGTCATTTAAATAATAGTCTGTGAGATATGGAACAAGCTTATTACAACGTTTGAATTTCTAGAACGAATTAAATTTTTTTCTTTATTTTTTTTCGATTCAATTAATTTTTCTCCTAAGGATTAAAGTGAATTGATAAAGGAACTGGATTCAATGATCTTAATCGATGTCTGTTCAAATCGAAAAATCTTCTACTTAAGATGTTTATCAAACTTTCCAAATTTCAATTCGTTTACTAATTAATGTATTTAATTTTATTAAACAATTAATTTTTATTAAGAGAAGAATTAAAACAATAATTGTCTAAATAAAATCGCTCAGTTTATGCAATAGAATTTTTACTTTAATTTCATACTCTACGCCGACATGAAAAAAAATATCATTTTAATTTTTTTTCTCGATGATTTTAATTTATATTTTCTGAAGAGAATCCCAAATCTAGAGATCGAAATGTCTAAATTTAGCACGATATAATATATTAATAAACGTAACTGTCAATCGCTGTAGCTCATGCATTGCTTCTACTTTTTAAATTTTAAAATCGATCAATAGGAAAAGGTTCAATTACATACAATGAAGCATTTGACCACTCGTGTTGCAGGTGATTGCATTGCAGTTGACGAAATGTCAAATCAGCGGTGGTGGGCCAAGCACGTTCGGATACGACGCGTCCTCATCCTGCAGCAAACCGTATTCGCGCACGGGACGCGCCCACCACGAGGATCTACCTTGTGACTTTCGCCGACAGAACTGGTGCACGATCGCCGGTACCAATTATCCTTGGTACTATGTCCATTTGCGTATATGTCTCTTCCGCTCTTAATGATTGATATTCTTTCAACTTTCGCCCGTCCGACATTTGTACGCGCGCGCACGACGGTGTGGCGAAAGTTTCAACGTTATATGTCGTCTAAAAGTAAAATCAAACTAGATCGAAGAAGTATCTGCTTTAAAATTGAAATTTTAGATCAACGCGGTTTAATTTTTAAATTCTTTTCTTTTATTTCCATATCATACATTTCTTTATTTCGAATATATCATTTATACATATCTTTTTCTTTCTTATATAACATTTTAATTTCAAATAATTAATTTTGTTTTCATTTTACTTTTCATATAAATTAAAATAGAGAAGTAGAAAAATAAGAGAAAAAGAAAATTCTATGATATGGAAATGTAAAAAAAATATGCTCTTAAATAATTAAAAGGTTTCATGTGAAATATATTGATTCTGTTAAAGTAAGTTTTTATTTCTAATGTTTTACATATTGTGTATTGTCATTTTTAGAATAAGATATGTAATTCTCACACTAGTTAAAAGATTCTTATATGAGGAAAAAATCTATTTAGTTTTGTCAGTTATTATTTTATTACTTATTTTATTGCGTTTTATTATGCTTTGTTAGTGTAATCCTATTCTTCCGTTTTTCGTTTACAGGCACGCAGTACGTCGATTCGTGCAAGAGAATCAAGGATTGATGAGACGCATGTACGGCGACGAGAGTTACATCAATATTCTGCGAACGGAATTCGAGAAGAATGATATTGAATTCAAGTACGACGAGTACCATCATTATTTCGCCGATGATCTAAGGTAGATCTCCTTTCTCTTACAATTTCTTTCGGCAATGTTTTATTATTATATTACTTGCTTTTTTTCTTAATTTTTGAGTATTTCTAAACTTTAATACGTATATTTTAATTTCTTTTTTAAATTTATCTTGTGGAAATAAATTTAAATTATCATCTCATGTGCGATTTTCAGACAATTTCAATATAACAATGATTATGAATTGATTGATGATGATCAGTCAAAGTTTAATGCGAACGAGGACGAGAGTCGCGGATTCACTAGTCGTTCCTTTAATGATCCTATCGCCAAACGACTGAACAAATTTCCGAAGCTCAGCGAATATACTAGACCGCACTTCAGACCCACTGAACAAACCACTAGTTCGACTGTCTCAAGCACGAAGATTCCATCTTTGATTTTGTCTTCAACATCGACTAGTGCTACGACTTTCGACACGCGTACGCCATCCTTGACAACACCCGTGTCTAATACTACTGTAATGGATGAGAAACAAAAAGAGATCAAGACTCAACCTCTTGTAACAATATCTTCAACGTTTTCAAACACCACTGTTGAGATTGCTAATGGTGATGATGTTGCGGTAAATAACACGACAACAGCATTGCCAAGCATTACTGTGGCTGAGATCGTCAGAGAACAAAATTTTAGCATTAACGAGATTCCCGGGCAGAACGACAGAATCGACGAAGACCTGGAGGAACTTGGAGAAGTGCTAATGCAAGAATCAGAAGAAACAACAATTAGAGAAACAACTTTGGAATCAACCGAAACAACGAGTATCGTCTCTACGGAAACATTAACTGATCGAGATGAGGAAGCGGAAATGTTAAACGTTGCTACGAAGACAACTGTACATGAAGACATAGTAGCTGCACCAAGCAATGAGCAACAACAGTTTAGACCGCGTCCCGAGTATCGACCATCGAGCGTGGCCGAATCAGCAAGTGTCAGTGGACAACTTTATCAGGACGTCGCGGCCAAGGATCATGAGCCAGTACTGAAAGTTAGAGGAGTGTGAGTATAATAATCTTATATTTCTTCTTATCTCTCTTCATAATTAAAATTCCGACTTATCAAATTGAAAAATTAAAATAAAATAAATTTTTTTATTTACCTGAGATTTTAATTAAATGTTAAGAAAAGACTTTTTATAAAAATGTATTTAAAGATCTTTAAAGAAAATTATATTAAAAATATTACATATAAAGCAATTAACAAGGTTTTTAAAGAAGAAAGAGAAAAAAAGATAAAAACTACCATAAAAGTACAAAAGTAATTATAAAAAAATATAAAAAAATATAGTATATAATTAATATTAAATATAAGAGACTCTCTTATGAGAATATAATTTCATTCAGTCACCAATTTTTACTATCTTTGCAGAAACGCTTGTCCAGTAAAAGAGGAAGTTGTAGCACCATTTTGGGCTAACAACACTCGCGGTGAGGTCTTGGCTCTTCTTAATCTCTATCCCTTCGAGCAATATGTGCATTGGGAAAAATGCACGTAAGTATCATCGTTTCTGGACAAGAGAAAAACGAATAATAAATCTATGAAAAATATTACTTCAAATATTTATAAAATTATTTTAAATTGTGCCTAAAATTTTAAAAAAAGATCTTGTACAATTAAAATGCCAAGATTGTATCAGATTAATATTTAGACAAACATGATTTCAAAATGCTTAAAATTTTAAATGATTGAATAATAAAATTTTTTACTTTAAACTGAATTATTCACTTCTAAAATAAATTACTTTAGTATTACAGAAAAATTTTTCAGAAACTGTTTTATCCATTCTTTGCCGAATTCTTATTTCTCATTTTTTTGTCTGTTGAATTTTCATTTCTCGATTGCAGACACGAGAACAAGCAAATGCATTGTCGTGACGGGTGCAGATGCGAGCAGCAGTATCGTCTACATCGGCTGTTGGCTTATGATCCAAATAATGAATGTCGCGGAATTTTCAGCGATTGGTTCAAGTTTCCAAGCTGCTGCGTCTGCCGTTGTTATGATCTGCCATTAGAGTTTCATCGAGTGACATCACGTTCACCACGCACCTCGCGCAAGCGACGAATCAAGATGCAACCACCAACGCGGGACCGTTATCCGTGATCTAATTGTATTTTCGCTGGCCGATCGCCAAATAACACAACGTAAGTATAAAAAATCCCGCTAGATAAAATCGTACGCAAAATTCTAAAAAATGCAGTTACAAATCGATTCTTTAATTGGAAAAATCTCTGTTCAATTCGATAGTGATTGTTAATATTTATTATTGTTAATGTTTTGTCGAAATATCTTTATATTTTTTTATATGTACCAAATATGTTTCATGCATTAAAGTTTTATATACAAAATATATGTCCATAGGAAACTTTTTGCATATTTATAAATATTTATGAAAAGCATATTTATAAATATTTATATATTATCGTTAATATTATATGATACTTTATGATAAATTAAGCTGGAGAAAGATAATTGTAATCGCGCGCGAAAGTGTCAGAGAAAAATATGATTAAATTTTAATAGAAAGGTCATATTCTCTTATACATGTATAACAGATAAAAAAATATTTTTATTATTTTTTATTATTCGTTTACATTTTCGTTTATAATCCATTAAAGCGATTTGTATAAGATTTCGTTAATCCAAAATTATTTTTGTTGGCAAAGTTATTCTTGCAAACATAATATATCATAAAAAAATAATACAATAATAAGAAATAATAAAATTAAATTAAAATAAAATCATTTTTGTCTGAAGAAACTTATTTCATAATCATTCACATAAAATAATTAAAAAAAGAGATAGCAATATATATAAATATATAATATACCAGATGTCTAGAAAATCGCAATCCTTCGGGACCCAAAAAGAAGGAAAAAAATTATATAAATATTGGTCCGCGGAAATAAGTCGTTTCCGAGTTATAGCCACTTTTATGTTAGAAAAGTCGTAATTTATAGTCCACTTGGCATCCCTCTTTAAAAATTTTTTTTTAAATTTAAAATTTAAAATTTAAATTTGAAATTTAAAAATTTAAATTTAAAATTTAAAAATTTAAATTTAAAATTTCAAATTTAAAAATTTAAATTTCAAATTTAAAAATTTAAATTTAAAATTTAAAAATTTAAATTTCAAATTTCAAATTTAAAAATATAAATTTAAAAATTTGAATTTAAAATTTAAATTTTTAAATTTAAAAAGTTAAAATTTATAAAAATTTAAAAAAGAGGAATGCCAAGAATTAAGATTTCTCTTTTAACATGATTATTACATATTTAGAATGATAACAAATGTAATAGAGCAAAGTGTGTAAAATATTATTAAAAAAAAATTATTGAATAATAATACTATTATATACTCTTTGGCAAATATTACACTAATCAATGTACTTTTTCGAGATTTTAAAAGATTATGTACATATATTTATTCCATGTATTTGCGCGTCAACGCTAAGCTAAAAACTTAATATAATATATATAACGCTCAATATTATAATTAATAATATATAATTAATAATATATATATTTTCAATATGTTATAAGGCTCGTGAATAAAATATTTTTATACTCTATATTCTGTTTTCGTAATCGTTCTTTGTGCAATATTTAATAGATATTTCTGTAATCTAAAGTTATTAATAATTGTTTGATTTATTCTCACAAAATTCTTAAAAACTATTTAATTTATATTAATAATTAACCAATAGAATTCATGCGTGCATTGGTGTGTAGATTATCCCGAAATAAAATAAAATAGTGCGGTCGTTTCATTATATATCTGACTTTATTTTTCTTACTTCCTTTACATATCTCCGACAACGTTGTGTGTCTTACAAAGAAGAAGGTTCACAAACAGTAACGATCTTGAAAACGTTAATACTTTTTTTCTATTTCGGGCATTAGTGGGTGGCGCGGTGAATACAATAATACCGATTATATGTCTTGTCGTACACATTCATTACATGGTATTACAAACGTCATATTATTCGTATCCCGTCGTAATATATATGTATATATGTACATGTTATATATATAATGCAGAGGATGTTTCGTATTCGGATACGCGACACTCTGTAATATTTACGCATAAAATTTACGCGTCTTTACGTATGTGTAATCGTGTAATAACGCGTCATATAGTAGTAAGTAAGAGATGTAAGTGTGTGTATATTTATTAAATACCAGCTAAAACATTTGGTATCAAAACTATTGCAGGAAGAAGAAAATAAAACGTCTTCGAAAAATGTATCTCATTCATCAACGCCCTTTTCGTGTTAGAGTTTAACATAGAAAATATTATATTAATTATATATGATAAAAGGAGGCGATTCAACCCTCCTTTTGAATTAGTAAAAATATAATAAAATACGATAATCAAATTAATAAGATAAAATTATGTAAAAGTAAAATTTATAAAAAGATTTTATTATAACAATTTAATCCGCACGAATGAGAAAAACAGTTTCTTTTTTTTTAATTAGAAGTACGGTAGAAGAGAAACGTTAAGGAGGGGAAGACGTAATTTTATATTATATTCTAATGAGAGAAAGACGTTTCATTTTCGACGCGTGACACTTAATTGGAACAAAATGTCCCATGCTATCTCGAGTACGTTCATTTTCTTCGCTGTATCAGCGTGAAATAGTTTAGTTTTATCATCAGATTGTCTATACACTAATTTCGCATTCCGTCAGGAGTTGCAACGCCACACTCTGCGGAAGACTATATAACCAATTTGTATAAAAAATATCTCTTATTTCTTGGCACAATCACAAATCTCTGTTCGTACTCATATAATGCGTATTGATCATTGCACTTTTTGACGAGTTCTTTATACATTGCTTACGTATTATCAGCTGCCTATTATTTCGTCTTTATTCTTATCCAATAGAATTAACAGCGAAAAGTTTCCTCAAACTATGCATCAGTTTCGCAGATATAAAAATTGCTTGATGATTGATTGCAAAATGAATAATCGCTTTGCTCAGATTTCTCTTCCAAAAAGCAGAGACGTGCGAAAAAACTCTTTCTCTTAAGAAATTCTTACACTATATGTAACATCAAATATTCTTATATGTAAATGTAAATTTTAAATGTCGATCCATGTCATTGCTCTATTTGAGATCCATATAAGAATATTTCATCTTACATTGACATGACGTATAGTGTGCATACATCTCTACTAATTCGATCTCTCTCAATATAACGTATATATTAATTTTAATATACCCTCAACCTTAAAGATGTATTAATTAATTGGATAAGAAAATTTTTTTTCGAAAACTTTTTAATACGAATACAAAAATTATCTTTTAATTATATTGCACCTATGCGATTAATTTATATTAATTTTTATTAATTTATCGAAATTAAATAATTAAAATTTTTCACATACATTAACATAAAAATTTATAATTTTGCAATTCTTTTTTTCGAATGCGCTTTGTATCTAAATAAATCACTTATTATTATAAAAGAAAAAAATTTTTTAATAACTTATATATTAAAACGAATTATCTGTGAATATTCATATTTTATATTTCATTATTGTTTATATCATATTATGTAATTTATATCCTCGCTTTCAGAAAAATGCGCAACTTTTTTTTTTTAAATTTGGCATTTACTATAAGAAAGCGAAACATTTTATATCATAATAATAATATCATTATAATAACGTCGAATTCTAGTGAATAGTAACTCGCGTATATAAATCGATTATTTATAATATAAAATCTCATCATAACTCTGTGTGAATATATACGTTGCTATCGACTACACGCTATCATATATCTGTGAAACACACGTCGAGAACATTGGATAATAATTTATAAACATTAGCAGGAACGATGAATTCGTCGCAAGTTCGACGGTATGTGTGAGCAGTTGTTCAAAAATTTTATTACATTCCTTCGTCTATTTAATAATAAAGTCAGCAAAAAATGACATCTCGTTATCGAGATCCTGCACGGCAGCGATGTTTCACTCTTATTGTTATCAGAGTTTTTCGGATTAACGATCACTGTTATTAATTACCAATAACGTAATGATACTTTATGTAGCACGAACCCCGTAGCTTTTCCCCATCATATTAAGTTAATTGGAGCGGAATATTTTTGCAAAAAGTTACTCCAGAATTAATCAACCGTACTTCTTTCCTTCTCCTCTTTAACTTGCAACGACATTACGATTAAAACAGATACGCATAAAGAAGAGTTAAATTCTCGGTTTTCTTTTGCTTACAAAAGAAGAAAGGGACGAAGATAGAAATACGTGCACACTGGGATTTTGAATTACTGGGATATAACTGTAACTAACGTAAGAATCCAAGAGTCTCATCAGACATTTGTTTCAGAAGATGATTGTTCTTTAGAAAAATTTCTCAAATATCTAAAAATTGTTAAAAAAAATCCTAATGTTTGCTCACACAAATTTTTTCAATTATGTATTGTGTCTGTTGCGCATAAAATTTTTTTCTCTTGCCTCTAATAAATTTCTACTTCAAATTCATTCGCGTTTCTTTGCGCGCAATTAAAAATGCGTCTCGTCTCTCGTTACTTTCGCCTGCAAAAGTAATGATATACCTAGATAATCATAATATATATGTCCTTCTCTCGGCTCGCGATTTTATTCCTGATCTAAGAACAGCTATCTTTTATGTCGACACGTGAGAAGTGAATGCACCCTGCATATCCCCTTAATAATTAAGTTAATATTGTAGTCGCGAAGCTTTTCACGTATAGCATAATCCGGATAAGTTTGCCTCGGATAACTTTGGTATTCCTAATCATTCCTAGTATTTTCCCTATATTTCTTCCACGTATTTTTACCAATAATAATATCATAATGGGCAGAATAGATGACGGCGAGCTTGGTCTCGCGTAGTTTGAGCGTAGAAGCAAGCGCAAATTGAGCAGTCTATTTCGTGGTAGAGATACCGGATAAACATTATTTATTTCTCAAAAAAGTTTTCCATTCATAGTGCCAAAGTTATCCGGATCCTTCTGTAAACGAAGAACAATTTCATGCGAAAATTACGAGCATGCTTATATGTGTGTCAACTTTCGGATTATGCATTAATTAATATCACACTTCAAACTACGAACAAGTATTTTCACTTAGCTAAGAATCCGTCAACTGGCAAAATAATACACCACTTTTGTAGAAAAACAGCGATCCTTTAAGTTCCTCTCTCTCTGTATCTACAAATTCCAAAAAATTAATCAAAAAACAATACTTGCTCCTTTCTGCAATAATAGCGTAAATAAAAATGCTCCATTTCTAATGATTAATTAATTTAGTAAAATTGTTTTATATATATATATGTATGTATATATATACAATATATTATGTATATATAATGTACAGGATGTCTACTCGAAGCTTATAAAAAAATTCCCTGATCTTTCACACATATATTTAAAAAATCCTTCAAAATTCCAGGTTCTTCAAAGGGCAGTAAACAACCTGACATGTAAAGCGAATAATATATATACACATATACACATACATTTAATAAAAATATTAATTACGACATATATTCGTCAATGTGAAAAATGTATGACATTCTATATAATTAAAAAATAAAAATTAATAACAAGTGTCATCTTTTTCAATCAGTAATCAATATCTTTACATAATAGATTTCTTTTGCAGCATTGCAATAATTTAATAAATATCATTAAGACATGAATAATTTTCTTTTTGCGACACCATTTCATCCATTTCAAGAAAAAAGAAAGTTGCGTGTATCATTTTGCCCGTTCTTCACGGTAATATGTGTAGATATAAAGTTAATATAAATTGACAGGACAGATAGACAGTACGGCGAGGAGATAGTGACGGTATATAGAAAGAACGGCGATAGACAGCACTGATTATTATTTATCGTATATCGGACGATTGCAGTGCGATCGAGGCAGGTGGCATGTCGTAGAATACTAAAGATCAGTCGTGATCTGTGCGAAGCCGCGCATTAAGAATAATAACGCGGCTTCGCGATTGTTGCTCTCAGCGTGAACGAGGGCAAGGAATAAATCGAACTCTATGAGATAATACACATGGAACAACTTTTGCAATTCTTACTGCGAAAAAGGATTATTGAATGATTGCTTATTGATTGCTGTATTGGCTTTTGATTCGATTAAGCGAGTCACAAGTTACTACCGATCAATCTCAAGCCATTGCAGCTTAATGTGACACACGCTGGATTCGACTTGTCCTCAAAGTCGATGATACTATATCTCTGTTATATATTCGCGTACATTTAGTTAATTTTTTGTATCGAAAAATGACGTGCTTACGATGAAAAATTGAAAGTGCATTGTTATACACGTTTGTGTATAACGTATATATATCTATATGTATAAGTATTGCCCAAAATATGTGTTTTATATCGCGTATATGTATAATATATGTGTAAAAGGATTGTTAAGTTGATATGTCATCGAAGGAGTAATATGCTATATGTATCACAGTGCTGTGTGATTGAGAGAGTAATCATAACAGCGCCAAGTTTCTCTTTTTTTTCTCGTTCTCCTCGTTCTTCGCCTTTGATTCATATCGCGAGTGTTTCCGATTATTCCTCGATCTTTACACATGGAAATTTTGTTTTCGCCATTCGCTAAATGTTATTCGAAAAGAGAGAGCAATTCAATTTCCAGTTTAAAAGAGTCAATTTTTACGTATGATATATGTATGTTACATATTTTATACTTTCAAACTTGAAAAAGAAAACATGTTTCTTGCCCTCCCTCCTAGAAAAATATCTTTTTAGAAATCGTTCGTTGATATATAAATTTTTACGTCCACTATCTCTGAAAGTTTCTGTATTATTCGTGGTAAAGTGTGATTTCTTTCTTCACTTTTCATCAAAAAGACACCAACCAATGCTTTGGTCCCTATACACATTTAAATACACAAGCGCGTGCGAAACATTTGGAAAAAAAAAAAAAAAAAAAATCATTGATTGCACAGGGCAAATACTCTCCCTGAATATATCAAAAAGTATATATCTATTGCTTCTTTGTATTAAATGCGCCACACACGCTATTATAATGCAGTACCAGTAAATTTAATCACAATCCTTACGAATTAGCGTTAGTATTCCTTTAGTTTTTGGTCTCGCTTCTAACTTATGTCTAGATATTGTCTCGTTGGAAAACAAAATGTCTCGCGTGAAACCAACAAGCTCGCTTTTCGCGTTTCTCAGCATCTCTTTGTTTTTGCTCTTCGTTATATGTGTGATTCGTGACAGATATATATATCTCTAGATCCTCGTTCACGTAGATGATTATTATATCGTATTATCACAAGTACTGAACTGCTTCTAATTGCATTTATAGAAGATGATTCGCAATGAGAAAAGCTGATTTCTCGTAATGTCGAAAAGATTTCCGACAAAGAAGAAAATGTTTCATCCCTTTCGTGTATCATATATAGATTTTTACGGATACACCTCCTCACACGTGTATTAATTATTCCGTAAAAAAAATTACGTCCGAATTACTATCCTCAAAATAGTCGGACGTATCTATCAAATTATGAAAAAAATAACAGTTCAGGTACAGATACGGTTAACTGATACATACTAAACGATCGTAAATTATATAATTATATTGATTTAAAAAATATTTCCTAAATTATATATATATATATATATATATATATATATATATATATATATATCTTTCTCTCTTTGTAGAAAAATCGTATTTACAAATAATATTATGTAAGAACATACAAAGATAAATGTATCCACTTTTGCGGATTTTTCGATCTGTGATTTGTTTTCTTTTCTTTAAGAATACTTATAAATTGAACTCGTATAACCGCACCATACGAAATGCTTATATGTAAGCTCGTTTAAGAATAGCGGTAGTGTAAATTCACAAAAATTCCAATCTCAAGATGTATGAAAACAATCGTGCGTATTGTTATGAAAATTAGTCGTTATTAAATATAACAAGTGTTAGTTTCTCAATTTCACCGACTTCGTATTTGGCTATTATAGATATTATAAATCGATATTTACAATTCAGTGCACAAGAATAGAATATTGAGCCTGCATCAATTCCATCCTTTCACTTTGACATTTTATTCTCTCTTATCAATTTCTTAATTTAAAAGTTTTCTTAACCCCTCAAACATTTCTTTAATAAACATTGTACATACGCGCAAGAAGTTTTTCTCTCAATTATTTTACACAGTTAAAAAATATAATATAAAGCAATATACAAAGCTTAAATTATAAGAGAGAACTAAATATTAATGTCATAAACTTTCTTAGATTATTAATTACAAATAAGTAGTTTTTCTTTTTTCATATATCTATATAAAAGAAAAAAATACTATTTTTATATGTAAATTGTTAAAATATGTATACTTTTTTAACATTTTACATAAAATAATCAATTTTGTTCTCCCTCTCTTTTTCTGTACATTAGTTTTAGTTTGAGAGGTTAATTAATAATATATAATAGCCATCGAAAGAAACGGCTATATAATTTATTTATTTTCTAATCGACAGTTTGTCAATATTAATCCACCAATTTTCTAACGGGCCATAATACGACGAATATTTTTATACTAATCCACTTATGGTCTCGTACGAATTATTGGTTTCATAAGTTATTAGCTGCATTTCCCGTTGCATTGCTTGATTATACGCGATCAAAGATCGAAAAGCAAACTGATTATTAAACATAAATTATTTGATATATTTATCTAATGAATAACGATGAGTGAGTATTTAAAAAAAATCAAAAAAATAAATAAGCACCAATTATATAATATTTCACTAGCTACTTTTTCAGGAAAGCCAATTCCGAAAAGACGCGAAAGATAATCTCCCTCAATATGAATTTATATACTTTGTAGATCTGATTATTACACAGATGTGAACTATATATATATATATATATCTTGATATAGTGATGCAGATATAGCGCAAAGCAAATTGATATAACTAAAACACGACATGATGATTTAGTGTTTGGAGTAGCAACTTAAAGAAATGCGACAGAGAAACTGAAATACACGCGTACCTGTTTTATACGATTGCGATAATTTAACGAGCTAAATACGCTAAAGCAAAATGGATCGTAGAAACTCGTATCATCACAACCAAATTGAGCGATTAGCACAATGAAAAGTTCTTCGTTAAATGGAGGTTTTCTCAACTGCATCGCATCCTCCTCCGAAAAATCAAGAGACCATAAATAATATAATTGATTTTGCGTAGCAAATCTCTTTGCGTACGTGCACGACGTAAGGGCCCCCTGGTGGAATTTAGATTGACTTCCACTGCGGCTTGTGGGGGCCCCCCCTTTTGTGTCAGGGACCCCCTCTAGGAACCCACAGCGCTTTGCTTTGCTCTTCATCTACCGAGGCTTTCACCTGCGTGCATATATACGCCACGCTCACGCCCGCAGGAATCACGGCTGAAATATTATTAATTGAGTAAACAATATATATGTTGCAATATATATGCTGCTATATATATTTTGCAATAAACAATCTTCATTTACTCTCTCTTTGAATTATATATACTTTCCATCTAATCTATATTAAACTACATTACTTAACATTTCATTTATGTTACAATACATTGACAGTACGTATTTGAGATAAAAAAAAAGAAAAAAAAAATAATACTATGAATAACCAAACATAAAACATTTAATTTATTAAACTAATCTGCTCTATATTTCGTGACATCGAAACAACAACAAAATATATATAAACTGCGCATACTTCTCTTATGCACACAAATAAAATTAGAAACACGATTTGCTTACCAGAGATGTAGTGTTTATACTCTGCTTCTATCTTGAGCGCATGCTCAAACATCTCCTTCGCGGCCTTTGTACTGATTTTGTCGCTCGGATATCTGGAATCTTTTACCTCTTTAATTTGCGTTCTATCCTTGAATTTTATCAACAAAACAATAGGATAAATTTGATGTCTGTGAAGCCTCTCGATGGAAGCCATCGACACATCCAAAATACAGTGTGTATTCTATAACAAATATAAACACAAATTTATTATTAAAAATTTTATCAATTATCCTTTTCCCCTTTTATTATTACTACTATTTATATATAACACAGTATCATTTACATGTTATTTATATAATATTAATTATATATTTATAATATTATTTATAATAATCATTTATTCAACAATAACACACCCACACACACACATATTTTACCTTCTCGCATATATCTTTAACAGCTTGTACAGTCGTGCATTCAAAGTAGCTGCCTTTTTTCCTGTAATCTATGTAGAGCGAATCGCGCAAGCCTTGCTCCAAAGTCGACTGCGAACAATGCATTGCTTCCGCTAGACATCTAGTAAACTGTCCCGGATAATCCTGTAGAAGTTTCGTTACTACGCATTCGCTAAGCGGACCGATTATCAGCACAGGTCTCAAAGTAGGATCTGTTATTAATAGTAATCATTATTATACTACATGTGTCTAAAAGATATACTGCATAAATATTGTGACATTATTGGCGTAATTAAGAATTACAATTATAAGTTAATACGTACAATCGAGCCTCTCAACACGCTGATAACTTGCCGGAAGAGTATCTTCGTTCAACGTTCCGCTATCGCTGTACCATCCCAAGTGGGCTCCAGTGAGATGCGACGACAGTTCTTTAGTGCTGTCTCTACTGCTGGATGAACGTGGTTGTTGCTTCTTTCGTCGGAAGAAGCTTCTCCTCGCGCTCGTGTTGCTACGTTTGCCAGCATCCTGTTCTAAATCACCCAGAGAGCGTCGTAATAGCAACTCTTCTTCAACTCTGTATAAGAATAACAATAGTAAATTATTTATACATAAATCTTTCAGTTTAAATTACGTATAGATTAAAATAAAATGCATCATATATTCTCTCTTTTTGCTTTTTAAATGTTGTATACAATATTAATTCCATAAAAATGTAACTTACTTAAATTTGCTAGGGATTATTCCGCATGTTTGTCTACGGCCGGTCTGATCGACTATCCATGCACGCCAATGGCCCGGCGTTCCGTTAAACATTGTGTTATCCACGTATAGAATGTCATCTTTGTTGAAACGCAGCTGCAGGCTGTCGCCCACCTCGCCGGTTCGATCGAACAACGCTTTCACGTAGAAACTATCACCCGGCTTGTCCTTCACTTCGTTATATCGTTCGTGCATATATTGGGCGACCAGCGTTACCTTATCTGCCGGTCGAGCCAATTCGAGGGCGGCTTGCTCAGCGGTCGCTTGTCTCAGATCCACGCCGTTATATTCCAGGATTCTATCGCCGGTAAATAGGCCGCCCTCCTCGGCAAGACAACCCGGTTGAACGGAATGCACGAAAATACCGACGCCATTTCCGCCCACTAGCGATATACCAAGATTCGAGCATTTCCTGGTTTCGATCAGCAGATATCTAGGCTCGCCACTCGGCGGAGGTGGTTTCCGATTCAACTCTTCCTGCGTGGGACTTCTCATCGCGGTTTGCCGCTGCAATTGCGCGCGGCTCAAACGATCCAGCGTAGCGGCACTGCGTAGTTCCGGCTTGCGAATATTGATGTCCAGCGACGCGGACGGTCGCATCTCGCGCTGTCGCTCTTGCGTGCTCCTCACGTCCAACGAGGCAGATGGTCGCATGTCCCGCTCGACGCGTAGCGTGCTCATGACGGGCGCGGCGGTAGTGACGGCGGTGACGGTGGCGGCGGCGGTAGTGGTGGTGATGGTAATAGTAGTAGTGTCGCGTTCCGGTTCCACTGGCTCCAACGTTTCCATCGTGCTCTTTCGCGGCGCTTCCGGACTGTTACATGGCGTCGGTGAGCCGCTGCGACTTCCGGCCGCGGCTCCGTCGGCGGCTTCCGACGAACTCGAGGACGAACCCGCCTCTAATTCGGTGTATTCTTGCAAAGAAAAATGCCGTTTATATGAGACACGTATTCCGAATAACGTGAAAGCCAAAGCAGAAAAATATCCTGAAAAATTCGAATGTTTTTGTATTATCGAAATGTATTAATGTGAAGAGGAATTAAGAAAGTGCGCGCAAATCATGCCGTTAACGTAAACACATGCTAGAGATTCTAAAGTGCGCCTTTCAATAAAGATTGTATTATTTGCTTTAGTGCGCAAAAGACAATACTCACTGTCCGGACTATACTGCACCAGCATTGTAATTGAATTACCGCACTGACGTAAAACGTTGGCGGCCAGCTGGTAGGTCGCGCTTCGCATATTGATGCCGCAAACCTCTAACAATTGATCGCCAATCTGTAGGCCGACTTGCGCTGCCAGACTTTGCTCGTAGACAGTGGAGACAAATACACCGCCACTTTCCAGACACTGGATCTGAATACCCAACGGTTCCACAGATTTGTCTATGTGTACTCGGCGTAGTTCACCGGGCGCTGGACGTGACTGCGAGCAGTACTCCGGCATACTGGCGCGTTTATGCTGATTGCCTCCTCTCACGGTACCACTGCTGCTCTCGGTCCCACTGGTGCTACCAGTGCCCGGACTCAACACCTCTACGTGGAATGTTGGCATTGGACTGCCTCGCTCCGACGTTCTCTCTATGCTACCGGTGGATAATTTGCCGACGCTGCTCTTGGACGTGACACTGGTGTTGGACGGTATGCGAATGCGTTGATCTTCTTTTCGACCAGGTAAGGTGCCGCCTTCGTATCCATGTCCGTAAGTGGGCGTGTCGCAGGGTATACCGAGCGTCAGTGCGCGTGACTTGTGATAGTGCAAATCTACGGAGGGAGTGTGCAGATGGCCGAAGGTGGCCACCGGGGTCACTGTGGTCTGCGAACCTGGTCCGGGGCTGTACGGAGGCTCGAAACAGTAGGTACGTGCGTCAGGCAGGCCTATCGATTCGCCGGACTGCGCGGACGGCAGCGACGGTGGCGATGGATAGCGCGAGGGTAAGGAGTGAGTCTGGTGCTGCGTAGAATGCGGATGGGAGTGCGACGATGTGGCATACGGATGATGCGGGGGAAACGGAAAGTTACCGGGTGCCATTTGCTGGCGCGATGCCGGACCGCTGGTGGTCGACGTGGCGGACGTAGATGAGCCGCCGATTCCCGACGAATAAAGCTGCGAGTGCACGCGATTGTGCTGCAGCGTGTCCGTCGTCATTTGCGTGTCACTGCTACTGCCACCGCCGACACCGCTCGTATACTTTTGCGGCCGTTTGTTCGCAAAGTACGAATCGAGATCGCGGCCGACGCCGCCGGACTTGACCGAGAAGTCGATGCTAGTCTCGGACGGCGCCAGCCCGGAACCGAGTCGTCCAGTCTCCGACGCGCTGCTCTCGAATTCCGTCGACGGTGGCTTCTTGCTGCCGCCATCGATCGGGATGTCCTTAAACTGCACCGCCGGAGTGAACGATGACGACTTCTGATTAAAGAGCTGCTGTCCAGTCTTGGTGAAGGTCGGTAGCGGCGTCTCCACTGCTTTGTAAACGGTATGACGATTATTGACATTGGAAAAGTTGGTGAGGGAAATGGGATTGGAGATACGATTATAATTATAATTATCGTATTTCGGTAAGAAGGCGCTGAGGGGGAAACGCTCTTTCGATTTGCGTGGATGCAATATAGTACCGGTCCCATTCTGTATGAGGGGCACGCCACGCGCCTTCGGCCATGTGCCGCCGTTCTTCTCGACCTTCTCTGCGCCGCGTCGCTTGCTGCGTTTCAGCACGCCATTGTTGTTAGTGTTGCTCGCCTTCTTGTGGTAGCTGTCGATCACCGAGTCGAGCTCTGCTATCGCGTCCTGCTCCTGCTCGAACGTGTTCGGACTAGAATTACGGTGACCCTTCTTCTTGTTGTTGTCGTCGCGCTCCTTACTATGCTTGCGTCCCCGCACTATGTCAATCTTCTCTCGGAAGTTGTCCCAAGCGTTGCTAATGCCGCTCGACTTTTCACCGCTCACGGACTTTGCGGCTTTATAGGCGTTTCGATCAGCAAAATTCGTCGATAGATATCGCCTTTCGTAATCATCTGACGAAGCTTTCAACATCATTCTTTCTTGCTCGGTTTGCGAACAGCTGTTTACCATCTTTTGCTTCTCCACGAAACCATCTAACCCCATTGTTTCCGAACTAGCGACAGACGGTATTGAAATACCCTTCAATGTTGTGATTGTTAACACGTCCACGGTATCATCATTTAAAATTGCCATCGCTTCGTGCGCCGTAGTAACAGTATCCATCGGTTTACTATTAATCTAAAAATGAATTTTAAAATCTAATATAATATAAATGTCACGTTTTATGTATGTGTATAGAATATATATAGGATATTTTCATCACAGAAATCATTTCTTTCTCTTTTTTAAATTAAACTAAAGTAAATTAAATTTAAGCTTTATTTATTTTAATCAATCTTTTTTAGTCTAAGAAAATAAAGAAGGAGTAAAGAGTATTTATATGCTTGGACACTTTATAAGACTATAAATCAATCAATAAATTATACAAATTAATATAAGATATAGATTTAGAGCAAATTACTTCGATGTAACTACTTACGTTTAATACTCTATCCCCTACGGCGAGGTTTCCATCCTTGGCAGCCAAACTACCGGGCGATATCTTCGAGATGTAAATTCCGAGTTCCAGAGTAATGCCGTGTGGCACTGAACCGATCGATAACTGCGTGGTTCTCAACGGCCGTCTGGTCATCCGGCGTCGCTTCACGATCAGAGTCACTGGATTCACAGTAGACGAACGCAAAGTTTCTAGGATCACGCGCGTCGATACAGATGTACAGTCGACGTTGTTCACTCGCACGATACAATCGTTTAGACGTAACTTGCCGTCGAGGGCACTACCTTGAGCCACTTGCGCAACATAGACACCAGTGTCATTTGGATAGTACGGACTATCACGGCCGCCGACGAGGATCAATCCCAGGTCATCGCGATCCGAGTCCAAGCAAATCCTACCGGGCTCCACGTGAATAGGAATCATCTCCCAATCGTTGCTCTCATCAATCTGCGCCAACTGGCTGGTTTCGATCTTTTCCTTCAAATCCTTTAACTCCTTTGATGCCTCGTTTCGTTGCTTTTTGATGTCATCGGAGTCACGCAGAGCGCCGGCTAATTCGGAAACAGCGCGGTCGCGTTCCTTTCGCAACTTGTCGCACAGACTTCTTATTCCTTCTCGCTCTAACACTATCTTGTCACGCTCACTAAAGGCCCAGTCCCTCCTTCTTTTCGATACTTCGGCTTCTTGAATAGCCTCTTCGAGCTCCACCTGTAACGTATCTACGGTTTTTCTGAGTTTATCCAACTCCAAGTTGGCTTGCTCTAAGTTGTCCATGCGCTGTTTATCTCGTGTTGCATCCCTTGGGTTTGTCTCCTTTTCGGCTTCTTTGTTGACGCTATCACGTTCGCGACTGAACGAGTTCAACTCCAAACGATGCTTATAGTCTCTGTTGGAACCTTCGCCAGTGTAATCACGTTCACCGAATTTCTGCTGTAACTCATTGCACAATTTCAGAGCTTCGTCCCTGTCTTGCAAGGCGGACGAGATTTCCCTCTTCAACGTCTCGACTTGATAAGACAACGTTTTCTTCTGCAAATAAATCAGCATCGATGTAATTGTGTATAACAAGATATCGCGTTCATTTCTATAAATAATGTAAGTCTCAGATTTTTCTCCAACAAAATCTAATTCAAATTTTTTTCATGATCCAAGAAAATAAGATTTTTGCTAGTTTTGAAAAATAGGCATGTATAATAATGGAAGAGTTTATTTCTCTTTATCTTTACTATCATTTTAATATTGTGATAAGCATAAATACTCAATTTTGTACGCGACAAGTGCAAATTAAAGATTCCTAAAAAAGATAATTATAAAATTATAAATTTACTTCTTGTTTAGCAATCGATAAAATTTGGAAATTAATAAAAGTTCAACAATACTAGAATGTATCAAGATAAAGTTCGAAATTAAATGCTCAAACTGTTTGGAAAGAGATTAAAACTGATTCAACATACTACTCCTCGCTTTCCACGCGAAAAAAAATACAATAGAATTGCAAAAACAAATATATAATAAACTTAATTACTAATTAAATGTATGTTAATAACAGATCATGTAAACATCAATAGAAGGGGAACATGAGAATAATAAGAGACTAAATTAATATTTTCATTACTTCGTCCATGAGCTGCTTATTTTGCGTTTCCAGATACGTGACTTTTGTGTACGCTTGCGTGAGGTCGTCGCCCAACTTCTCGATCTCCTTGTGGACTGTATCTCGTTCTCCCATGATTAGACTGTATTCTTGCAGAGCGGCATTTCGTTCCTCGGTAAGTCGTTTCATATCCTTGCTGGCTTTCATGCGCAGCACCATCGCCTGATTAATCTCCTTGACCGCCTCCTCGTGCTGCTGCTGCACCTTGGCTAGCGCTTCGCGATATTCGTTTCTCTCTCTTAATGCAATGTCCCACTGGCGAATCGCGGCGGTGCACTGTTGCTTCAAGCCGTTACGCTCGCGAATCGCACTGTTACGCTCCTCCAAGACGCTGTCGTATTGTTTCTTGAGCCTCTTAGCCTCCTCTTGCGACAATTCTAGCTGTATTTATCATACATACGCAATTTTGCATAAATTTTTGTTGCCAGAGCAAGACGTGTTAGAGATAACGCTATCAAATATACTTGCCTTGTTAACTGCAGAGGAATGCGACGCAATCAAGTCGTCGTACCGTTTCCTGAGGGAATCGTATTCGTCCTTAACCGCTTCGTATTTTCGTAACGCAGATAGATAATGTTGGTTCATAGGATCGTTGCCCGCGGCATCGGAGACGAGAACATCTTGGTTCTGTATGCGCTGCAGTTCCGACAGTTCTTTCTGTAGAGTCTGCACCTCACGGTCCAGTCGTTGCTTGTCGTTTGCGAGATCATTGTATTTCGCCCGTAACGCGGAGCTGTCTTGGGAAGTCGCTTCCAGTTGATTCATGACTGCTATATGTTGCCCGCGATAATACTCCAATTCCTTCATAGTATGCTCACACCTGTGTTTTGTATATTTTTGTGGGTTTTTTTTTAATGCACTTGAATGGTATTTATCCTAAAAGCGAAGTTTTAAGCGTACGTGAGAAAGGTGTGAAAAATGTGTGCATTTGTATATAACTAAAAAATATACTAACATGCTAAGATGAAAGATGAGGGGAAAGGGATGTAGCAGCAGAGAGCGAGACAAAAGATTCGAGACAAAATCAAAACAAACCGTCTTATGGTATCGGAGTGCTTATGCCTAAGTAGCTGAAGCTGATGCATCGCTTGATCACATTGAGCCTGTAAACCGTCAAATTCGGCACTACGACACTCGGGGCCACCGACCGGGCTTCCAACACTGCCGTAACTTCCGCTATCCCCCTCTGGTTTTATGTCAATTCCAACAGCAAACACGTCAAAAACATAATTGATGTAACCCAATATAAAATGTGTGCGTGAAAATAAAATACAATTTGTCTGATGTAATATTTGTGACAAATCAAAAGTAAATAAATAAAAAAAATATACATGTACAGAGAGAGGAAAAAGATATGTGTTGTACACCAATGTATAACTAATGTAATCATTCTTAAGCAATACGCATAATAATAATGCGACAAAAGGAGATCACATTGGGAATTTATTGAAAAAAGATGCGATGTCCACATAGAGATGAGTCTATATATGCACATGTATTTTTATAACTCTTGTTTAAAAATAATTCTTACCCATGTTAAGTGCACCATCTGGAAAATTAATTATAAACACCTGTATTACTTCAAGACGTACATACTGATCGTGTAAAGAGGGAAGAGAAGCGCAAACAGAAGGAAAAAAAAAAGGAGAGCACAAGTAAAATCAGTAAAAGTACAAATAATGCCTGAATAGAGCGCGTTAAAATTTCACAATGAAATTTAGAAGTCTGAAATGTGCTTGTTACAGTAGATGGAACAACATAATCAGATGTCTCGCTAGCTTTCACCAGGAAAGAAACTCTAGGTCACGCATATAAGTATACAGAATGATTCATTATTTTCCTTCAACCGAGAAAAATCAATAACAATATTCCAAATTGTATGATGTAATATCTTTATCCTTTTTATCTTTAATTCCATTACATTCAATATTCATTGACAGCAATACTCTCTTTCCTCAAGATGCAGCTATACATATATGCAAATTTATTCTGAGATAAGACAGATTTATGCAGCGAAATGGTACATTAGAATCTCAATTACTCTGAAAACAAATTGAAATTATAATAACGTAGGAGGAGAAAAATTCAACATTTTTTTATTACTCTGAAACGAATATTTCAAGAGGCTCGGACGTGCAGGAGAGTCCTCGACTGTCTCTCGCCGAGTTTAATTTTCCGATAAAAATATTTCCGCGACGACGACGGGAACGATAACGCGTCGTCCTGACGTCGTAATTAAAAATACAATGACGCGCTGACGTTAGCCGTACGCGAGAGACATTATCGAGCGAGCGCGGTGGCCGGTTTTCCTCCACAAAGGAGGAGAGGAGAGAGGAAAAAAAAAAACAAAGACGAAGAAGAAAGAAGAAAGGCGTTGAAAATAAAAATTGTCCCACTCACCGCTACTTCCAGCACTGTCCAAGGAGGATGCACCAGAAGCCATGGCTCTCCGCGGTGGTTCTCGTGAGCGAGAGGGAGAGAGAGCGCGAGCTGCGCGATTACCATCTACCAATACGGGCGCTCGTCCTCGTACGCCAGCGACCGAGTGCGAAGCGGGGCAGGTATCGCCTGGAAAAGTGTACGCTATCGTACTTCACGCAAGAGCGAACCCTTTGTAAATTACTAAGAAGCAGCCTTCGGGATGACATTATGGCCACTATGGAGCAGCGATGGCGCGTGTACGTGTGTGTACGAGGATGTAGGAGAAGGAAGGGGAGAAGAGAGAGAGAGACATGCACCTGACGCGCGGCGCACACACACATACACACGTATGATACGTACCTCCTCCCGCTGTCGCCGTCGTTTACATCCCAACACACGTGTCGCGCGTGTATCATCCAAGGGATTTTCTTACGCATCACTTCTCCCGCGCTTAACGAAGGATATATAGAGATCGGGGGTGGAGAGGGAGGGAGGGAGAGAGACAGATCTCTCTCTCGCGCGCGCGCGCGCACACAGAGGCCCGACTAACTGACCGAGCAACCGAGCGCGACACACATGGGAGAGAAGGAGCGCGGGAGGAGGAGGGGGAAGGACGTATGTTTTTCGAACGGACGTAATAGATGGATCTACGCGCGTCGATGTATCCGAAAATCCGAACTCGTCGGGTCGGCCGATCTCTCGTCCCGACTCGGGAAACGCACTCGCGACGAGGAGAGTCGTCGTCAGCGGGGAAGCGACGAGTATCGATCCCTCGATCCGGGGTATCTATCGGTACGTTACGTCCGTCGCGATGACATCTCGCGAATTTTCACGTCTCCCGAGCCCGACGATGACGTATGCACACACACACACACATGCGTACATACACACACGCACGCACACACATGTCGAGGAATCGCGCCGGCCGATCGCTCACCTGCCGCGCCAACAGAAGGATCCGATCTGACAGTTAGCCATTTTGCTCCTCGCCCGCCGTATGTCTGCGCGCGTGCCTTCCGCACGCTCCGTCTTTCTCTCTCTTTCTACGCTCGTCGTCGATATACGCATACACACAATGTAAACTCCGCGGGCGGCGAGCGCCGACTGCGATCGGTCACCGATGTTGAAATTGAGAAGCGCCTCGCGCAGAGATCCCTCTATCCTGAAATTATCGAACCCGAGCTCCTCCTCTATTCTGAAACAGCGTCCTTCCGTCTCCGTTCCAATGGCGCATGCGCAGTCAAGTAGTTCCTGCGCAGTCTCCGTCTTCTGATTGGCTCTCGCGCTTCACGCACGGTCACGTGATCACGTGGCTAGTGGCGCGAGCGGAAAGTTTCAGTTTACGGATAAACAGCTGATTCGGAACAGCGGAGGATATAAAATAGAGAAGTCTTTTTTGCGGAAATTGACCACGCGCACACCTTGCGTAAAGTGTATTGTACCTGTACATTTTCTCGTGAGAAATATTGCGGCTGGAATAAAAAAACTGCAAGTAAGTATGCGTGGCAAAAATCAAAATAAAATTCGCCGACGTATAAAGAGGATAGAATAAAAATATTGTAACAGTAGAGAAACATATTTTCATGGTGTGTCATATAAATATGTAGAAGAGATATTTTCTGTTATATGCTTATTAATTAAGACATTTTGGAAAATACTAGAATTATTTTCCTTATTTTCTTTAAATTAATATCTGCAATTTTTGCTCATTTAATAATACGTGAATATCGATATTTTCGAGAACACATATTCATAAATCTCACTCTACAAATTTTATTTATAATTTTAGTATTATGTAATTAAAAATGTTTGAAGAAATAAAATATATATACATATAAAACAAGCGTCTCTAAAAAGATATATATGTATACAAAGAAATATAAATAAAATTCTGAATTTTATTTGCACAAATTATAGACTATTGAAATGAATTCAGTAAGAAAACTAAAAAATGGAAATAGTTTTCTTCCTCATATGAAAGAACTTCTGTATTAAAATTTCACTTTAAAAATTTTGAATGTTTACACTTGTAATATTTATAGCAAATACATTCAATTAAAGTTAAAAATATACATATATATTAATAACAGAAAATTTATATAAAATCTTTAATAAAAATCAAGATTAAATATATTAAATTAGCTTAATTCATCTATTAGTTTGTGTTTCTTTATTTTCTTTTTTTATATATAATATTTATGTAAGCTTATATATATACATATAGACACTACTCCAATAATCAGAGCTCATTACAACTTTTTTTCACGAAACACAATTTCAGAATTCGAGTTTAATCACATTCAGTTGAAGTATCTCCCGTAGGATTACGTTAAATAGTTCTAATTTTTATTCAGTTTTAGACATTTACCCAGTGGTGCATGTTTCTCTATATAATTGTGCTTCGAAGAGAGTTACTGCTCGTCCATAAAATGATCGCCGGATGTTGGGTGAAAAAAACAATTGACGCAATCGCATATACTCGTAACTTTATGTAAATTCATTTTAAAATTGTTTCTTCGCATTCTTTTGCAGTTTCAGGAAAACAACAATTATTCCTCGCTTTTTTTTCCATTTGACTCGCGCAAAGAATTTTACAATAGTCTGTAAATCATACAAGGTATAATCGTTTCCGCATTTTGCGCCAATTGTTTGATAATTTAATGAAGTTTAATGATCGATCTCGATAGACTTTCAAACAATTTCCTGAAACAGTAGTTTGGTCCAAGTTTTTTTTTAGAGTTTAGGAAACGTAGAGTGTGATTCTAGGTGGATGCAATTTCCAGTGCAACATTGAATCAGTTACGCTAACGTTCGCCATATACGTACATTTTTTATGTAGATCGCGATACAGTAAATATATATAAGAATTGTAGTTTTTTTTTCAGACATGCGACCTCGCGAAAGAAGCGCTTTACGTATTCGAGAGCATGGACGTATCTCCCATCATTGTACATCGTTGATATATTTCCTAAGACAATTATCAGTAGATTTTGAAGTACTTTGAGTATTTACGTCAGTGTGTCGTAAGAAATATACATTTTTCGGAGAGTAGTTTTAGAGACAGATGAATGATTATAATGTCGGATACAAAATATATTTATATATCTTTAGCAATAGAGTATTTTCTATCTCTTTTCCTGTCTTCTCTTCTTGTTCTTTTCGCCTCTAATAATATATATAATATTATGAAAATCTCTTTATAATATAGATAATCTTTCTTTGACTCCTTGCAAGGCCAGCATAAAAATTACACTACTAGAGTGATGAAACTTAAGTCTCTCTCTCTCTCTCTCTCTCTCTAGAGATGTTGGACAACAATTTCTCTTAATTAAACGCAATTCTCGATGTCATATATGTATATTCAAAGCAAGGGAGTCCTCTAAATTCCTTACAAGAGTCGTAATATAATTTCTTTAGATATCTAACAGTAGAGAGAACGCATTTCCAAAAATATTCAAATCATACACTCTATAATAATAATGTCCACAACGATAATCACATTCTTTTGACACTGCGTGGAAATAAAGATCCTCATCCAATTGCTCTCCCTATCGTAATAAAATAAAGAAAACGAATATCTTAGAATTAGAAGTCATTTAGATTTCGAATCCTGCAAATTGAAATTTTGCTTGTCATTGAAAGCAATTTTATTTTTTTTGTAGAGGAATTAAGTAAACGAGTCCAAAACTTTTAATTTGAGAATTCAAAAGTTTCTAAATATATTTTTTTAATTTTAAGAAATTGATTTTCTTATTTTGTGAAAAGACCGATTAACTGGACAAGGATAAGATATAAAGTACGTGCTCGTTTGTAGACTCGATTGTGATTACGTCGATTTTCCAATATTCTTTGGCTTATCTCTCACTTATCTCGAATATTATCTTCGTCAAGTATTTCGCGATCAGATAACATCAACAATCAATCAAAATAGATCGCGCATATTATTTTATAGATATAGATTAACGATGTTTTAATTTTGTACATTTTTAATCCAACGTACTTTGAAGAATTTACAGATTAATTTTTACCTCTCTTTCCCAAAATACTATTCTTTACAACTGAAAAACATTTATAACTATTTTTGAGAATTTTTGTATAATAAAATATATATATATATATAGCCAAATACATAAAATTACTAATATCCTCTTAAAACCAAGTCATTTTACAAAAAAGAACAGTTAAAGTTATATATTTTTATCACTGGATTTAAATCAAACTTTATTAGAGTAAATTTTATACAGACTTAAGAAATGTAATTTTATCATTCATTTGACTTGAGGTTTATTTCGCAAACAAAAATTCTTTTCTTAGTCATTTACAACTCGAAAAATATAACTTTGAAATTTTTGCTGAAAAAGAATTGTTTAAATTATTCAAAATTTCTATAATGGATTATTCGACGATTTTCAAACATCCATATAAAAATTTATTTTATCGACGCTACGAGTTCGATAGATATTTCAGCTAATGAATATACAACACAAGGACGTAATATATCGATTTGGAAAGTATAATTTCTATTCAATTTCTTTTTCAACATCGCAACAATTTCACCTGGAATGCTGTGGTTTTAGTATAAATTCGTTTCTGAAGTACTGCGCGCTTTAGCATCTGCAATTATATAGATACATATTAGTTTTGCTTTCTTCTCTATTATTGTAAAATTTATAAAACTATTAAAAAGAATATCGCCTTTTTTTCTCGTTTTTTTTTTAACGATAAAATTTTGTTTTTACGCGCGTAACAAAACCGGACATTTTTTTACTATTAATTATCGATACTACAGCGGCAGTATATCAGAAGTCGTATTTTTCAGTATTGAAGTGTCACTGGTACAATTTTTTGTAAGCAGTAAAATAGATGTATTCTCGAAAGAGAAATGTCGAGGCGTATAGGCAGTGATATATAAAGTGGTATCTCGTCAAAGTATCTAAGTAAAAACGACATTTCTATTTTTTTTTCTTTAAGACGAAAGCACATTATATAAAATAAACTAGTGTTTAATTTTCAGCAACAATTATGAAAAGTGGGAAGATAAGGAGCATGAGGAAAAAAATAAAAAGAAAATTGTGAATTTTTAACTACATTAAACTTTGGTATTATATGTGAGTGAACATCGTTGTTCCTCCTCTTTGTGCTTGTCTGTTTAGCGCCTTTGAGTGTTTGCCTATATCAACGCGATTATTTACAAAGATCATACAAAGTATAACATAATCAAAGTTAATAAAAGTACTAATAATAATAATAATGGTAAGAATCGTATTAATACTAGTCGTAAGAGATAACAAGACTCGATGTTTGTCAATGAAAAGCAAATACAAAATAACTTAACTTAAGTGGTGAATGAGAGCACACTCTTGCTTACGTGTACAAAGAAAAAAAATATCTATACTTTGTAAAAATGTGATGCATATACTTAAATGATTTGGTGCTGTGCGCAATTGTTTAAAAATGATTAGAAACCCCAGGTGTTGCTAAAATTAGCATGCGGGGATAGCGCTTTAAGGACGATTATCTCCTAAGGATGAAACCTCATTTATAGAGGTTATACCCTCTATAAAACTATTCTTTATATCTAATACTAAGAAATTAGTAAACGAATAAATGTGTCGGGCAAGTCTACCGTGACAAATACTGTTAACAAACTAGCGATATATATTTTTATTTCTATAATCGCGACGATAAAAGATCTCCCGATTATGTAAGCTCGCATTATCTAAATTTGAAAGAAATTTTTCGCAATCGTTTTTGATAATCTGCGCACTCTGGAAGAATAAGGAATTATATATCGTTAGTTTTCTAACACGTAATCGATATACAGATTAACTCTTCTCTCGATCCTCATAATTTTTCTAAATATCGAGAATATTGCATTTGCGCACTTCTAAAACAGTTAATATTTTAGATATTTCATACCGTTCCTTGTCCATGTATATTGACTACGAGTGGTTAACTTAAACCTACTAATAAATTAATAGATAAATATTACACATATGCGTCTTATACAAGTCAAACAATAGCTCCAAGAATCTTGAGTTTATACTGCAAGTGTTTCAAGAACGATTCACTACACACAACTTTTGCAAGATTTCCACTAATCTTATTACTTCCAATATGACTTATAGAACTTGTACCGATTTTTACCTAGAGAAAGAAAGCTTAATTTAAACAATTAATCTTTACGCTAAATTATTTAGATGCTCTACATGCTCTTATAAAGCACTAACGGTAGACCTTTGGAAGTGATGAACAATTCCTGATGAATGGAAGGTACGTGGTGTTTAATCGAGATTTGTCAAGCGTCGGAAAGACATCTTTCGTTTAATATTTTTCAGATTATTGGCATTTCATCAATCTCGATATCGGGCTATGCGCGAAAGTAATGTAACACAAACAGCGTGCATGTGAAGCTAGGTGTTGCGACAGATTCCTAATAAAGACGAAATTTATTTCGCGCAAGATAATTTGTCGAATCTATGACATATGCAGTATTTTAAAGCAAGGATCTTTCCATCTCGCAATCGCATCTTAATACGCGTTCACACTTACGAGCTTTCTACACAGTGGAGGTTTGCTGGTTATTGTTATCCAGCGGAATGCTGGTAGAACATTCTTTCAGCATTGCTCGCAGCCGTAGAATCTCTTTGGACGCCGCCGCCAAATCGGATTCTAATTGCAGTTCCTTTTCTCGACGACGTTTCAGTTCATTTTGGCATGTCTGTGATATAAATTATCATATATAATCGAAATCTTTTTTCGCAAGTCTCTATAGTTTAAATTAACTTCAATTTTATTTCTTTTACTTACCACATTCTGTCGCAATAAATCGAGCTTGTCACACTTAAGCCTAGTGACCTCCATTCTCAGAGTATCATTTTCCACAATCCCATCCTTGCTCGTACACCTGGCGGTAACGTGAGTCTCTGCGGAACTCATGGATTCGAGACCTGTGTCGCTATCGGGATATACAGCCTGATCGAGCTCGAGTTCGCTGTTGAGCGAACTGTCGTCGCTCTCCGAGATCACTCGTTGCGTCACTTCTGTCGTCGCTGTTTTCTCTTGCGTGCGAAGATTCTCGTGAGTTAGTCGTTGCACCGCTGTCGCTGTTGATGTTGGTACCGGGCTCTTGTCGACTATAGTAGTGTCACTATCCAGACAGACAACGCTGGCACTTTGTTGCGATTCCCTACGATCATATTCGTCTTGTTGCAATGTCGCTAGACTACTGTCTTGATTGTCGGTATTGGATAAACTGCTGTCCTGACTGCCGAGACTACCGCGTTCTGAATCCCTCCTCAGTGTCAAATCCGGCGAGCCGAGAGGACTGGACGGTTCCACTGAGCGCTTGCTACTGCCACTTACCTAACACACAAAAATATAATTTTTAATCTGTTTTATCAGGTCTTTTTATTTATGTATCTCGTATATATATCTGTCATTACTCATTTATTCATTCATTTGATTCACCTTTATTGTGGTCGATTGCCGATTGCTCGGTGGACTGGGTTCCGTCTGACCTTTCTTTGCTAGTTGCTGCGGCACACTTTCCGTCGACGCATTCCTCACGCGCGAAATCAACGCTTTACGTACGGTGTCAATAAATCGCGAACCGCTGCTCCCTGAAGCGGATACATCACTCGTCGTTGGACTCACCGGACAGATAGTCAAACCCGAGTTTCCTAGAGTGACCGGACCGCCGAGAAAATCGCTCGTTTTAGTCTGTAATTCCTCCGTTAGGGATTCCAACAAGGCCGATCTAGTCCGTAGCTGAAAATTACGCAAGTTAACTTTGGCGCAATGTTCTTCGTCACATTTTCAGAAAATTATCGTAGCAGCTATTGGATGCCGTTATATGGGAACATGGACGCTATACAATTACGTGGAACGACGGAAGCAAAAAGATGGGAAGTTCGGGAAGACGGGAAAGCTTACCTCCAACTTGGAAAACTTCTCAGCTTTGTAAGCAGCGTTCTCGGCGTTTACGAGTTTCGTAAGTAGGAATTCCTTGAACTCGACACCTCTGAGAAAGACCGCAGGTGTCGGCAGGGTTGGACCGAACCAGGGAACATCATCACGCGCTGTCACACTGACTTTGTACCTTTATATAGAATTTAATTATTTATTGCTTCTCGCATTAACTCAAACTAATAGTTTTTCGACGAATGTTTCGAAGATGTTTAGATAAGTAGTTCGATAATAAACTATTTACCAAGACTTTAGCGACAGTGCAGGCAGTGTGTGGAAAGAGCAACTATGAATCTAAGAATATACCTCGTATTAGGAGTGCAGGGGTCGATGACTTGTACGACGATAAAGGCGTGCAAGAAGTGGCTGGCAATCATGTCCGGACTGAAGGGTGTCGGTTCCTCCTGGAATATGATGGCGATGATGTCGTTACCGATGTGCCGTTTACGTTGCAATTGCTGTGAGTCGCCTGGACTGTACGGTAACAACGAGGCCACATGAAACAGCACCTCTCGGCCTCGGAATACTTCGTACACGGCCGAATCGCCGGTCTGGCCATGTCGAGTGTCCAATCCACCGCGATAACTGCAATATTATCGAATTAGAAAAGTAAAAATAAAGAATATAAAGGCAAGAAGAAATAAATTTCATCTTTTTATGCGATCAAAAGCGTACATTAGGCAAATATTCGAGATAGAGATTAGGGATCTTTTTATTCCGTATCCTTGCAATTCTATATAATATCTTTAAAAGGCATTTCTTGAAAAAAATAATTTTACCCCTTGTGATCCTTGAGATCGATTTTTTGGCCGAGCAAATCGAGAAACTCTTGAAAGGCTGGCGTGATTTGCCGATTGCCAAAGAGTTGCTCTTCGGTGACTTGGCCAGCTCGCTGATGTAGAACGCCAAACTTGAACCTGGAGACCAGAGCATGTTCGTCGTATCGAGCGATCAGAGTACCGGCGCCAGGACACATGACCGGCATCAGCGGGCTCACGTTCAGAGACTCGTTGATCGCCTGCGAACAATTGTTCTTTGATGAGAAGAATGATATGTAAGCGGCAATACATAATCGACGTATAATTATGGAAAAGTGAGGCAAGGTCTTTCCTGTGTTTTATCGCGCTGGATGGCAGCACGCCTCTTTCTCTTTCCTTTTCTTCTTCTCGCTTCCTCCTATGGATCGCCACTATGCGATCGCATACATAACGAGAGATAAAGCATGAATACACGATGGATATTAAATAATTCAGTCTGTTTATGCGTTTTTTTTTTGCTCACTGATGGAATATAAAACTTAAGGTCAGATATAGCCTTTCCATCGGTACTAATGATTTTTTAAGCAGTTTTCTACTACGTAAAGTGTTTTATCTACATTTTTATATTTTTACAGATAATATGAAACAAGACCTTGCGTACTCTCTCTCTCAGTCATCCTTTTCTAATATATCTATATTTATTTTTAATCAAAATTCGCACTTTTAAATAAATGCAAAAAAGTAACAGTTATCCCTTCGAAATTTAATTTTTATTTGATTCTTTTTAAGCTAATATTTAATCTTTTTATTTTAAATTTCAATTTAATAATTACGATAATTAATTGATTTATTGATTTACTCTTGATATATATTTTCGACAAAAATCATAGATTTCTAATAAAAATTTGAATTTTCGAATAATGATAAAAAATAATATTCTTTCGAAGTTTAATTTTTACTTAATTTTTCTTAGATAACATTTTATCTTTTTAAATTTCAATTTAATAGTTACTTTGATTAATTGGTATATTCGCAAGTATAAATTCGAAAAAAAATTTTTTTTTACAATTCTGTAAATTCTTTTTTTTTTCAATCTACAATTTTTTTTCCTCTTTACGATGTTTCACGTTTCAATAGTTTTTCTAGATAAGAAAAAAAGTATGCAGGTGCGATTATACATTGCGTAAGCTCCCCATCCAACTGTTAATTATTCAAACACACGATATCACTTACAAGGGAAACTTTCATCGTCGAGTTCGCTCTTCGCTGCGATGTATTCGATCGCACGTGCGATTGTTTGATCTTAAAACAACTTTGAAAAACTGGGCCTATAGTAAACGTTTCACAGTGTTCGTGTATTAATATCACTCTCCATAAACACAGCGCGATCCATAAGTTTCTTATTATTTCTTCAAACATATAGGTAATCGAGAATATGGCTGTGTGTCTCGAGTGCGCTACCCGATATAAGCAACGTCTCCGATACGTAAACAATGTATGATATATTGCACAATAGCTCCGAGTAAAAAAAACATAGTTCTTTTGAAAAGTTTCTCTCATAGGTTTTAGAAATTGGAACAGTCTTTTGAAAAAAATGTTTACATTATATTCGATTTTAATTTTACGAGTTGTATCATTTATTAAAAGTGAATAAATGAAATATCAAAAATCAATAAAAATATTCTCATGATTTTAAATATTATTTTATATAATTATATTTGTTCGAAATTTAATTTTTATTTAATTTTTTCTATCTAATATTTAATCTTTTTATTTTAAATTTCAATTTAATAGTTATTTTAAATTCAAAAATTCTCTTTCTACAAATATAAATGTTATTTTATATAATTAGCAATATAATGTAAATTTGTATATATTCGATTTTAATTTTGCGAGTTATGTCTTTTATCAAAAATAAATAAATAAAATATCAAAAGTAAAATAAATAAAAATATTCTAAAAATAAATATTTCAAATGTTATTTTATAATTAACAATATAATGTAAATTTGTATTATAGCACATTAATCTATCTTAGAATTTTCAATGAGTTTATACGAATGCGTGCTTCCCGAGATATTCTAATCTGAATTTTATCGCGTGACGTTATACTCCGACTGTCAAGGATCATTGTTGTAAAAGAACGACTGTTACCCATGTCGCCATTACCTTGACCATTTTCGTCGGTGTAGGATTCGGGCTGAGATTCGTGGCGGGGACCAGGTCGTGCGTCGATCCCGCTCGCAATCGAAGCAACACCCGCCAATGTTCCTGTCCAGCGACCGTTTCGGCCTTCACCGAGACCAGGACCGGGCCGTTCTCACCGTCCCTTCCCACGAAGTTCACGTGTTCCTGCGGATAAGAAAAAGAAGCCAAGACGATAAGATGAGTATTTCATGCTCGTGTGAGGCAATTATGGTAGCAATTAGCCACGGTTTCCGGTACCCTTCATTAAAAACCATACGTCATGTCTCTCAAGGATCATTGAAAAGTTGGAAATGTCATGGGAAACGTTGCAGAATATTAGAAATTGATCTTTTTGATGTTTTACATATTTTTATTGATGTTTAAAAATGCATATTTAGCTCTTTTTATTCAATACGAGCTTTTGTGCATAGTGTTAAAAGATGCATGTGCCATGATTCTTATGTAATTTTCTGAAATGAAAAAATAATCTAATTTTATTCTGTAGAATATTTTAGGGATATTGAATCTAATTTTTTATTTTAAAAAATTGTGGAAAATAAGTAGTATCATTTTAAGATTAGATATCTCAATTTTGCTGAAAATTTTTCATTTCTTGAAGATTAGAAGAATATCAAATATTAATTTTTTAAATTCTAATTAGATTCAATATTCCAAAAATATTCAATCGAATAAAACTAGACTTTTCAAACAATTACATGAAAAGCAATATATCACCTCTTCACTTTTGCGAATACGCGCAGAAGTATTGAATAAAAAGAATTAATACCCAAAATTTAAAAAAAAATGAGATACTACTTAAACATAAAAACTATAAAAACATATAAAATGTAAAAAAAATCAATTTCTAATATTTTTTCTAAATTTCTAAAACTCATTAATTTTTTATACTTTTTCATTCCTAGATCGGATCGTTAAGGAAGTAATAAAGATTAATAAAATAAAAATTGATCTTCTGTATACAACAGATTTCCTTTTCAGCTCACAAATTTATGCTTTAAAAGTTAATTGAAAAATTGTAAAAATTAATTACAAAATTTCAAGCTTTTTAAAATTCTCCAATATAATTTTCCATAATCCTAGCATTAAAAAAATAAAATATATTCCTTTTAAATTTCGCAATCGCAATTTATCAAGTTCAACAAAGTAAAAATCACATTTGTTGAATTTAAGCGAGAATACCCTGTGATTGACAAACGTTGTAATGTTGTAATGTGTGACAGGCATTAGAACAATTACGGTAGTTCGCGCGTTCCGGATTCAATTAGACATTACGAAATTGCCGCGAGTAAAATAAGCGTATGTAGGTGATTGCGGCCCTGAAACGCCACCGTGTTACGCAGTAATACGTCAGAACGCTTTTGCAAACTATAGTTGGCGCGATTTTGTCCCGCGATTTCGTTCACATACACGGTGTCTCGCGCGTATCGAGATATATCGGGGACAACGTATTATTACGTAAAGAGCGAGTTTATCAGAAAGTTCGGTCGATCGGCGGCTTTTCGTGGGAGTCTAACGTCAAATGTAGGTCAGTGATAAGCGCGGATGTTATAACAAGTCCAAATTATCGATATCGACCTATCTGTATTCGTATACAGCAACGTTGCGAGTTGCTCAATTTACGATTCAACTTAACCCGAGCTTTTTAAATCAAACGATTATTCTCGAAGCCGATAATAAAACGGTCAGTGTGTTTTCGCAGAGACATCGAAATTCTTCCAAATAAAAATGTTGCCAAAAAGCAAACATCGTATGCACGACCTTGTTTCACGTGCAGATGTCGAGTCGGCTAAATTTACACACACGCAGGTTTCTTTATTTAATTTATCTGGAAAGTGCGCGCGATTCTGCACATTTTGCAGCGTTTCTCGACGCGTAAACAGAAAAAAGAGAGAGAGAGAGAGAGAACGAAAAAAAAATCGTACGTCTCTCCCCGCGAGCTTTAGGCCCCTCTTACGCTTCTCTCTCTCTCTCGGATATGGAACGGTGGGTAGCTGCAAAAATTACGATGCGAACGGCGAGTGTTTCCTCCGTTTTACGAAGCCGCGACGGGGAATAAAAAACGGTGCATCGTCGTCGAGCGTGCATAAGCACGCGAGCAAAAATGCGAGCTCGGCTTAGAGAGATACACGAAAGGTCGGGTCGCGCATAGAGAATGATGCGCGATGAAATGCATACACACAACTCCCTTCCCCTCGCTGTTTCGTTAACCTTCGGATAGGATGACGTGGAGGGAGAGGGGTTATAGAAAGGGCAACGCGCCCAGAGTTCACAAGAGTTCACGCCATTATTGTACGTACACGTTTATTATTGTTACCATTATTGTTATTACCACTTTACCGTTACATTAATTAAATATAATAACAATATTATCACACATGTACACTTGAGGGGCGTCGTCAACTGCATGCGTGGATTTTGGTGAGATTAATTAATAATTTAATGGCGATTGAATTACTTAAAGCTGTAAATTAATCGCGAATCAAACAAACGAAATCCACAAGTTTCAACTATAAATGAAAATTATATATGTGCGTGTTTTTTTTTTGATGGAAGAAAATGTCTACTTCCTGGAGAAACATGGAAAACTTTAAATTCTCAGGGATTTCTTTTATATTTAGAAAAATTGGAGAATTCTTATAAGAATTTTATTGAGATTTAAGAAACTTTAAAACAATTTTTTTTTGGTATAATTTTGCTCTTATGAACAGTCGACTATTCATCGATAAATCAAGTAGTGAATACTATGTTTATAAAATATATTATAGGTGTATATGTATCGTTTATAATTCAATGCCATAGCAAAATATTGAATATGCAGTATGTATTCTTTATTGCAATTTTCAGTGATTAAAAATGAAAATGTCATGCAAGTGAAAAATGTTGTGAAAACTTTAGTTTTTTTCATTTGGAAATTTAACATTTGAAATTCAAGTAACTTTGTGTTTTCCCTTCCCACGAAAAAAGCATTAAAAAATGCATACAATAGATAAACTTGCTTTAGAAAAATTGTACCAAAAATTTTGAAATTCTCTTTCTAGAATTTTAAAGTAAAAATATGTGGGAGGAAATTTTCAGGAAATTTTTATACATGCATAATTTTCCCGAGTCAATATATAAAGCAGGAAAAACATGCACCATTTTTTCTTTTCAGGATTTCTGCGTGTCTCTTGGATTTATAGAGATTTTTTCGCGAGTGGATTAATTCTTATCGAAAAGTCTATACGCTTCTTCCCTTATCGAGCATAATCCATGTCTCAAATGGCAAGTGTAATGCCTGTCTTGTGATATTACACGAACTCGCCGACGGCGCACCCTCCTCTATTGTAAGCAACGAGTTTTTACTCTGTATCCGCGCTGTTTCCTTTGTTCTCCGGCTCTCGATTGATATTGTTACCTGTTACTATCGGCTCTGAGGTGAACCGTTTGCTGTTACGGCTCGAATTACTCGCGCACCGTTGTAATCTCCCACAAGTAATCGCCCTCTCCTCCCATATGTGTGACTTCTTCTTATGGCTTATTCTTCTGCTCTTTTACGTGTGTAACAAACGGCAATTACGATAGCACGAGATATCGGTATTGCGTACTAGCAAAGGCGTGTGTCCCTGTTTAAAAAGTCCGATAAGAAATGATAAAAGCAGATTCAAATTTGATTAAAATTTTATATAAATTTATCTCATTTCAATTAATTCATATATATATATTTGATGAGATAAAAAATATCTTTTTCTTTCATTTCTAAACCGTATTTTCTTTAAATATTTATCCTGATGTATATGCATTTTTTTGTATATAATTTCAATTTAAATCTAATTCAATCAGCGAATTACAAGACTTGAGATATTTATGCATACATTATATTTTTTTATGAACGAGCGTTTGTATAAATTTTGTCAAAAAATATTCTCATAATGTATATAAATTTTTGTTATAGAAAAAAATTACATTCTATATATCATATAAAAATGTTATATAAATTTTAAATCAAAAAATAAATCGCAATAATTAAGTGATGTGTAATAAGAAAGATTTGAAAACCTGTATTATATAATATACTTATTATATATATTTAGAATATATATAGAATATTTACGAATCAAAAAATAATTATTTATTTTTTGGCCCGAATAAGTGATACAATTAATTCTGATGAAAATATAGCTAGATAAAAAATTAAAAACGATAAATAATATAGTAACGAAATGAAACTCATCAAATATAATATCAGATAGAAAATATGATATTTACGAACTAAAATTCGCACGATTATATAAACCTTTCCTTTATCTGATTTTATTGGACTTTTTAAGCAGGAATATTTTCGCTCTGTTAGATATGATATAAAAAGAGATTAGCAATTCGTATTTTAACAGATTAAATATGTACTGACAATTACAGTTATCAAATATGTAATATGTACATACAACTGTTGCGTTCTTCTTATTGGCTGAATTTCTTAAAAAATTAGCAAAAAATTTAATAAATTCGATATTCATTTTTCTCTACAAAATTGTTTCCACTGAAATTGCGAGACAAAAATTTAAAAAATTACAATATGAGAATGTTCTTTGAATTTTTTTCTTATCACGTGCTATTTGAATCATATCTTTGGATTGAGAAAATATTTCGAACATTGCAATGTAAAAATAAATGTACTAAATTCGTGGGATTTTCAGGAGCCAATTTCGATCTGATTTTCTCGTATCGTGGTTCCGCATCGCGTTAGGTATTGCAAGCGTTACTTCATACAGTTACGGATTTCAGCGTTCGAGTTGCAAAGCAAAAAAAAAAAAAAAAAAAAAACAATTACGAGCCAAGCAAAAGGTAACACCGTCAGTAAAGGTAACAATAGGCGGAACGGGAACTCATCCGTCGAGCCTTATCTAGAAAAACCGTGCGCACGCAATGCCGGAAGCGGAAAATGGTATGCTCTTTTTCTTACAAACTATGCGCGGCTTAACGATTCACTAATTAGCAGACTTTCCGAGAAGGTGCGCAACACTCGCACTATTTGTAACAATATATCGTAATAATATTGCATTCTAAACGAGACTCGTGCATAATAACGATAATAATAATAATAATAATAATAATAATAATAAATAATGAATTTTTTTGAAATTCGACATGTCGCAATTTTCCCGATATTTTTCACATGCTTTCAATGACACTTTCTCATTTTCCATATTTTTAACAACTCGGTGATGGCAGATTTTCATCGTCAACAGCCATTTTTAAATCTCGCAAATATCTCGTTTCACTCGAGAGCATCCTCTTGCAGCAGCTTATACACGTATTAAAATGCATCTGTCGCTATTTTCAATGAAACATTTCTCGATGACTCGATGATGCGACAACCGGTGAAAAACGAAGGGAAAAAAAGTGAGGGAGAAAAGTGGAGAAAATTGCGAATAGGAATCAAGAAAACGATCGAGGACGGATGAATATCGGAGGAGGAGAAGAGAAGGATTCCCTGCTTGGTTCTCCAGGCATCGGAGATACCCTAGTGGAGACTATGAGAACGTTCCCACTCCCACGTCCAAAGTGCTCTTTTCCTTTTCCTATGCGCCTCTTTTTTCCCTCCCTCGCCCTTCTCGCCCTCATCGCTGTCGCTCCGACTCATCCTTTTCTCCCTCTCGTTATCTCCGTCTTATCCCATGCATGCATCCTTCTTTCCTCGTACACCTACGTGCGTCGGTTGAGCGATCGCAGTTCATCACGGTTCTCGAGTTCTCGAATACGGTTTCAGGGACGGCGAAACAGGGTTCACCAGGCACCCTGATCTCGCTTGGCTCGAATAAATTAAGAAACATAGAGAAAATGAAGAGGTACGAGATCGGTATCCTTCAGTTTTCATTCAAATTTCGCTTCTTATTAGTTATAATGGACATTCGAAAAAAAATCGCAAGCAACCAAGTCTATCTTCTGATCATCTACTTTCATGAAGAGAAGTCCGCGAGCTATTCAGAGATGAGAAATGAGAGAAAACGCTTACCCTGCCGACGAAGAAGCGACGATAGCACTTGGCCGTATCATCCTGGTCTATCCTGGGCTGCCAGGCGGGCTGCGCCGGCAGCAACGCCCTGCCGGCCGAGTCGAGGGTATGTCGATGATCGGTACCATCGACCCAGTATCCGGACGGCGTGACGACTAAGGGCGGTTGGGCGCCGGTCGTGGCCTGCTGCTGCAGAGCCGCTTCCATGAGCGCCCTGCCCAAGGGTGCGTCGCCCACCGGCGACGGTGACAGCGCTGGAGTGTGATTGCTGGGCGCACCACCACCACCGGGACTCGACGTCGTCCTGTCATCTCTCGGGGTCTGCGACAAAATTATGGAAGCTCAATTATTCATCCGCTCCTACCTTCTGCTTATGATTTATGTCTGTACAAGCGAGATTTCTATGGAATTGCATTATCGTCCCGTTGCTAAAAAATGGAAGTTGCTAAGGACCCCTGACATTCATCAACTCCCTTCGGTTTAATAATTATATGCTGCACTTTATCGAGACTTACAATCTCTCTGGTATCATTTAATAAGTATTTTGTGTTACCCGTCGTAGTTTGTACATTTGTTTGCTCGTGTAAATAGATTTGTAACGAGGGTCCTTGAAATGTCAGAGTGTTTCTTTCGCCATCTTTTTTGGCGAAGAATTGCGTAAGGATTACTACAGGAAAGGCAAAATATCTCCTTTGACATTATGTTAATTCTATACGTGCCTGTAGATCTCTGAATCTATTTTATTTTTAGATTCAGTTGATTTTGAGAACAACTTCAATTTTTGTGTTTTTCAAATTATTATAAAAACAAATTAAATTAGAAGAAGAAATTAAATAATATTAGTCATCGTAAAAAAATTAAATAATACTACCAACACTATTGATACAATCTGATGGAAAATAATCTCTACTGAACATCTCAATGTGTCTTCGTTCGGTTAGAATGTCGATACTTGCATGTTCGTGTCAACCTAGTGTTATCAACCGCTCGTTTAGTTATCAGTCGCCAAAGTTAAGGTGTCGAATCGTCCGTTCTCGCGACCGGTGACGTTGATTGCCTCGTGTCGTTCGTCTTTCCCGAGGCGAACGCGATCGATCGGCACAAACGGAAGAAGCGACAAGGAGTCTCGTCGCGTGTCGTAAACGTCGAGGAGAGATCGAGGCGAGTAGGTCGAACGGTAGACGCGACAAGAAGTCCCATATACGAGCGCGCGTTCGTCGGGGAAACGGAAACGAAATACGTCCACGTGTCACCGAACACCGTGGGCACCCACGCGGATATCCTCGTGTGGACCAAGCCAAATATCGACTGTTACCCGATAGGTACTCGGAATACTAGTCCCGCGATGAAACGATCGATGCGCAACAACTTCTAGTATTTCTCTTACCTATGCAAAGCATGCAGATAATTATTATTTTTTTATTATTATTTTATTTTTATTTTATTTTTATTTTATTATTATTATTATTATTTTATTATTTTATTCACGATGAAATTTTAGTATTCTGTGCGCGATGCCAACAACAAATGTTCTGCATACATTTAATATTAAATTATTTCTTATTAACAGATATGTAATTCGTAATCGATATAATAAAATAATTAAATACGTGCATAATAATAAATTGATTTCATCCAATTATTTTAGAAGAGAAATAGAGAGGGGAAAAGCTGATTAAGGGAGTGAATGAAGCTTTCGAACGCGGCGTTCTGCGCTATACGATTAATTTTGCATAGTTAAACTACCATTTGTGCATTAATGTCGACCGAGAACATCAACAGATTTCTCCAGAGATGAACGCATAAAAGCGGTCGCGTTAATGCGCATTTTCTCTCGAGCTTCATTAGGGAAGATTGCGACTTATTCATGTCGCGCGGCTGTAATCGGCCCGTTTCACACTCGGATATATCTGCTGAATTTGACCCCGATTCCCCCGCCTCTGCGAAATTTAAATGGCACTTGTCGCGCACCTCTACATCTCGTGTTATTTTCCTCGACTCGAGTTTTTCATGCAAGTACACATTTTCGCACGGGAGACTGCAATTTATTTTAATTATTACTTAAGAGAGAAGTACTGCGATAATCAAAGCTTGTACGACGTCGGATTTCGCAGACATATCTGGACTAAGAAAATTTAATCATAATTGAATCTTCGTGGGGGAGACTCGTGCACGATCGATCGCGGAATCGATATTACGATGACCTCTTTCTCCTTCTCCCTGTCGGCGGAATAATTCTATCTTTCGTGGAAAGGTGCAATCCCGCGATAGCTTCATCGATCAATGACGCGCATCGCGAGCGGGATTACATTACCACGTGTATTATACACGCGCTATCGCACACAAGTGCATACCGCTAAATGCACGTGTCACTGTATGCATCCGCTGCATACCGCGACATCGAAATATCGACGCGATTTAGTTATCGGATATTGCCTCAAAGCGACACGGCATAATTCGGCCACCTCGATCAAATCTCCAGTCCAATAGGAAACTATTAACACGTCGATCGCGCGAATTATAGCGCGACGATTTCCGAAACGCTAAGTCTACGTTCAAATTTTGTACAAAAAATTCCCCGAAAATTCTCTCGATTTCCCAAGTATTTCTATTTAAAATTATAATAGATAAAGGAAATATTTTAAATATTTTACTTCTTGGTGCAATTTTCTAAAATAAATTTTCTCATTGTATGCTTTTCCCTCGTATGAAAGAAAAATACTGCTAAGTTTCAAATGCTAGATTTGCAAATGTACTGAATTTAAACTTTCGTAAAATGAATATTTTTCATTAGCATAACATTTTAATTTTTCATCATTGAAAATTATGATAAAGAATATGTGTTACATTTTTAACATTTTGTCAAGACATTAAACATACCAGAGACAGTAATAAATTTTAAATATGTATAATATTGAGAATAAGACTCATCAAAATGCCAACTGTTTACAATATAATAGAAAATTTGTCAAAAAAGATTTTGAAAAAAGTCCCAACAAATTCCACGAATTTTATGATATTTCCAGGTATAAAAGAGATCCCTGAGAATTTCCCAGGTTTTCCACATTTTTTCAGAGACCGTTTCTGTCTGTAACAATGTCGAGCTCGAATATTCATATCGATTCTAAAATTTCAGGAATTAAAGATAATAAATCGTTATTTTTTAAAAAAAAGAGATTAATTTTTCGAGCTGTTGATTTTTCGCAGTCTTAGATGAAATGCTCCTCTTTTTGTTGCTCTTTTTCATCTTATACGTGCGAAATCGTTGCGGTCATCGCCGATTATTATCCGGACGCATCGAAGTTGTCTCGGTCGGACGTTCACTAGAGACTCGTCCCGATAAAACCATTCTATTTCGAGTTCGGTTCCGTTCGAACGGCACGCGGCAGAATGAACACGATTCTAACGAGGCACGAGGCGAAGAGAAAAATGTCGGAGTGGCGTAAAACGCGGTTTAAAAGTAATGCGGATGTGGCCTCTCGGATTACGTTTCTTCGAGGTCCTCTTCCTCGTCGATTTTTCTGTGCTTTTCCTCTTTTCATCTCTCTCTCTCTCTCTCTCTTTGGAAAGAGCATTTTAAGTCATCGCGCGTCTCCGAAGAGAGAGAGACTCCCCCTTTCGTCCGCTAATTTTAAGCGTCTCTAATTTCGAATGCGAGCAGAGGATTAAAAAAAAGGAATCCAGAGATGTAAGTGCTCGAAAAAGAAAAGACAAAGAGAGACAGAGCGCAGCCTCCTCCGCCAAATATAAACCCCAGCGCGGCGGAGGAGTCCGGATAAAGGACCGGAGAAGGAAATACATATTGCAAAACATTTCTCAACTACTAAACTCACTCGTTATATTTAGAGTATTTTCGAAGTTTGATCGTGATTTTATATGGACTCGAGTTAATCGGAATAAATAAATTTTTTTACATTTATTTCAAATCAGCACAAGAATTCTCATCAACACCTTCTAAAGCTAAATTTCGGTTAAATAAAAGATTATTTTGATTAATTTCATTTATCAAAAATATTTAAAATTATTATCCAATTAAATAATTATTCGTCCTGCACATTGTAATATTTTTTTTCTTTTATAAAAAAATGGGAATGTATTACTTTTTTTTCAACAAACTTTCAACATAAAAATTGTTCAAATAAGTTATTGAAGAGTCGTAATACCTTCTAAGACACTCGACGCTCCAATGTTGGATCTCGAAAGCATCGAAATAAGGAGAGCCAATCGCGACCCCAATAAAACACACTCGCACGCACACGTTGCAATATTCAGCACACATAACAGCTGCCGATATATTATTACCGGTACCACCTGCTGCGACGCCATGTGTGCTCGTATTATTTACACCCGCTGCCCGCTTTTTGTGGTGGCCATGTTCACCATATAACCGTGTAACGGACGTATTTTACAGGTGACTTTAGAAAAAAAAAATAAATTACATCGCAACGACACGAAATCTCCACAAACTAAACAATGACAAGTGACGGATTTAATTACGCGAGTCTGAAGAGGATATTAAATTGGAAATAAATTAAATTGAAATATGATAATGTAACATATATACATTATTTACATTTTCTGAATGAACGTAAACTAATAAATATTTGATTCTGCAATTAACATGTTTAATGAAACAAAGAAGGTGCGTGAAATATATATTTGTCCAACATTTAATAAAACTTATAATCGATATTCCACGAGTCTTCAATACGATTCGTTCTCTCTGTCTTCGATTAATTTCTCGAGTTCTTGAAAATTATGCTGCTCGATATTAAATGACATAAAATATATATAACATTCATCTACATAAAATTTCCGAATACAATAATAATTCAGATATTAATTGCATATGAAAATTCCGAATGACTGGAGCGAAACGTTTCTAATACGATGCTTGCACATGTACCACGCACTCTATTTCCGTCTCGTAGAATTCGAGGTAAACCGCGCGCGCGTCTTCGATATTTATGGCGGTTTATTAACGTGAGAGTCAGCAGCATGTACGATTACTAGAATAACAAATAGTAATAATGTCCCTCGTTACGCACTTTTCGTTGCGTACGTTTGCCCCTGGCACATTTTTTTCCAACAAAATTAATTGAGTAATTAAGACAATACGTGTGGGATTAATTAAATAAGGAATTAACGCGTGAATATCATAATACAATATACGTTATGGTAATTTCAACGCCTGTGTAACAATGTTATGACTCTTAATTACGCAATTAAACGGTCTTAGAAACTTGAACAAGTTTACTCCAAAGTTGTGAGAATTTGAATGTCCAAATTAATTTGAAATTAATTTAGATTACAATTAAATA